TGAGCACCACCGCCGCGCTTACAATAACGCGATGCCAGAGATCGTTCTTCTCAAATTTGACACATGTTTGGCCGCCTCCGCTCCCTGAGCCATTATCAACTTCATTTCGATACCAATTAGCTGCGTATCCGCCACCGCCATATCCTCCAGCAACCATATTTTCTTGGATATAGCATCGCTCTGTTTGTTCTCTGTTTTTGTATGTATAGATTCCGCGACCGCCGATTTGTAAAAAAAGTGGTTGTTCGCTTAGAAAGTATTATTGTTCCTGAGATATAACCGCCAGAGCCTCCTCGACTATTCTTTTTTTTGCATTCTGTGTTTCCGCCGAATGCAGTTACAATCTCTTGACTCGTGCAATTTCCATTCGAATCAATGAAAGTCGAAACTTTTCCTTCAGTTGCTCCTCCTGAGGCACCATACAACTCAAATTTGTACACACCTGCAGGTAAATAACAAAATAATCTGTACATTCACTATTTGATGTACATGGATACTTGAAGATATATTCTTTATTAGTTTCATCAACAATAACATCTTCAGTCCTAATAGATTCATTTACAAGATGATATGAAATCATTTAACGACTTATATAAACTTATCGACTATAACGGATGGAATCATAATTTCTTAACTTCTTTGTTCGGTTCAATTTTGCCTTAGACCGAATCCTTTCATGATATTCGACATGTACTTCATGTTACTGGTCTCCTTGTTCAAGGACATACTAATATATTCAATAAGGTTAAACTGCATTTATTTTTTATGAAAGTTTTTACTTGATTTTATGAATATATCTTTATGAAACAATAAAATCACATTATCTTGAATACACGAATCAGCTGATCCTGGCCTTTCTATTGACCTCTTTAATTAGATAGACAATTCGATTTTTAAATTATATTTTGCAACTTTTCTTAAATGAAGGTTTCGACATAATATTCTATATGTTGTTGAAATTACGTTACCGATGATTATCGTAATATTTTCTTGTTGTTAATGATGAAATTTAATTGAATTCTCGATAAAAACATATTATTCTCGGTTTCTAAGTCCAAGTCTTATTTCATGGAAATGAAATAAAAAATATTAACAAATTGATTTATGAAAACTATGTTGCTTCATCATTATGCAAATTCCATAAATGCATTTTTAGTTTGACAAGAAAATCAAACTTATGGAAAACATAACAAAATAAAATTCATACAAGATTAAGTAGTTGAACCCATAGTAATTTTTGATTTTATTATGTTACGTAGTGATATGAAATTTTTATAGCATATTAGAGGAATAGTTTAAATCTAGCTTTATATCAAAAAATATAACGTTCGTCATTTCAAATCGGAAAATTTTAGTTTAATCCTAAAATGATAAAAGTGAATAATATTGAAGAAGGGATATATGATGAATAGAAAGTGGGACATTTCAAAGTGTCGAGAATTGTTAAAATGAGTTGTCCGTTGCCTTCCCAAATACCAGCATAGTTTCGAATATCATTGAAGAAATAACCATCACTAGAGTTGAATGCATATGGTTGACTACCAATATTTTTATAAAAACTATCGTAGACTGTGATATTTCCACTGGGGTAATCTAATGCTTTAGTTAGTGCCCATGAACTTCCTCCTCCTGAACCTCCATTTCTATTCAATCCTGCAAAACCGCCAAACCAACCAGCTCCTGCACCTGGACGGTCACTTGTACCATCCGCAGATTTAACACCGTGCTCATGTAATGATGAATATTGTCGTGCAGATTCTCCATATCCAAAACTGAAGCCAAAAGAAGAATTTGCCAATCTTTCGCCATTATATTTTCCATCTACCCAATAACCTTGCGAAATAATTCCTCCTCCTGAACCTCCTGAGCCATCATCTGGACCTCGAAACTCAGTATTCACGCTAGCACTATTGTCTGAGCCACCACCGCCGCCGCTTACAATAACGCGATGCCAGAGATCGTTCTTCTCAAATTTGACACATGTTTGGCCGCCTCCGCTCCCTGAGCCATTATCAACTTCATTTCGATACCAATTAGCTGCGTATCCGCCACCGCCATATCCTCCAGCAACCATATTTTCTTGGATATAGCATCGCTCTGTTTGTTCCTCTGTAATTTTGTATGTATAGATTCCGCGACCGCCGATTGTAAAAAAAGTGGTTGTTCGCTTAGAAAGTATTATTGTTCCTGAGATATAACCGCCAGAGCCTCCTCGACTATTCTTTTTCTTGCATTCTGTGTTTCCGCCGAATGCAGTTACAATCTCTTGACTCGTGCAATTTCCATTCGAATCAATGAAAGTCGAAACTTTTCCTTCAGTTGCTCCTCCTGAGGCACCATACAACTCAAATTTGTACACACCTGCAGGTAAACTAACAAAATAATCTGTACATTCACTATTTGATGTACATGGATACTTGAAGATATATCTTTTATTAGTTTCATCAACAATAACATCTTCAGTCCTAATAGATTCATTTACAAGATGATATGAAATCATTTAACGACTTATATAAACTTATCGACTATAACGGATGGAATCATAATTTCTTAACTTCTTTGTTCGGTTTCAATTTTGCCTTAGACCGAATCCTTTCATGATATTCGACCATGTACTTCATGTTACTGGTCTCCTTGTTCAAGGACATACTAATATATTCAATAAGGTTAAACTGCATTTATTTTTTATGAAAGGTTTTACTGTACTCAGGTGATTCTCTTAATATTTTCTTGTTGTTTAATGTATTAGAATTAATTGATTAATAGTTGTATGAGACCCATAAAATCGCATTTGCAAATTCATGCATATATTATGCTCTCTTCACCTTTCTGGTTTGCAAATTTTCTTATTGATGAAAGTTTCGACATAATAATCCTTATTCAATCTATATGTTGCTAAAATTACGTACACAGATGATTATCATATTATTATATTGTTGTTTAATGTATTAGATTTAATTTAATATGGTGGATATCTGGTGGAAAATGTTCTCAAATTTTTATTTTAATTCTATAAAGATAAAAGAGAAGAAGATAGAATAAGAGAAGTATGATGAATAGAAAGTAGGGCATTTCAAAGTGCCGAGGATTGTTAAAATTAGTTGTCCATTGCCTTCCCATAGACCTGGATAGTTTCGAACATTATTGAAAAAATATCCATCTTCATACTTGAAGCCATATGGTTGACTACCAATGTTTTCATAGAAACTATTGTATGCTATAATGTTTCCTTTTGGAAAATCCATGGCTCTCGTCAATGCCCATGAACTTCCACCTCCTGAACCTCCATTACCATTCATTCCCGAAAAACCGCCAAACCAACCAGCTCCTGCACCTGGACGATCACTAGAACCATGATAAGTTTGTACTCCTTGATTATGTAATGATCTATTTTGTCTTGGAGATTCTCCATATCCAAAACTGAAGCCAAATGTTGAATTTGCCAATCTTTCACCATTATATTCTCCATCTTCCCAATAACCTTGCGCAATAATTCCACCTCCTGAACCACCTGAGCCATCATCTTGTTCAAGAAATGTATTGTAATCTGTGGCAGAGTTGTCTGAGCCTCCTCCACCACCGCTCACAATCACGCGATGCCAGAGATCGTTTTTATCAAATTTGACACAGGTTTGGCCGCCTCCGCTCCCTGCACCGTTATAATTATCGAAAAGAAACCAATTTGCAGCATATCCTCCGCCGCCATATCCTCCTGGGATCATATTTTGTGGTAAATAGCATTCATCGTTGTCAGCCATCTTTTTGCTGTAATTATATATTCCTCGACCTCCGATTGTGAAAAAAGCGGTTGTTCCTTTAGAAAGTATTATTGTTCCTGAGATATAGCCGCCCGAACCTCCTCGGCTGTTAACTTGTTTGCATTCTGTGTTTCCGCCGAATGCAGTTACAATCTCTTGACTCGTGCAATTTCCATTCGAATCAATGAAAGTCGAAACTTTTCCTTCAGTTGCTCCTCCTGAGGCACCATACAACTCAAATTTGTACACACCTGCAGGTAAACTAACAAAATAATCTGTACATTCACTATTTGATGTACATGGATACTTGAAGATATATCTTTTATTAGTTTCATCAACAATAACATCTTCAGTCCCAATAGATTCATTTACAAGATGATATGAAATCATTTAACCACTTATACTGACTAACTAACACATTTATTTAGAATTATCAAATTCGAATTTACATAATTTATTTTAATTTTGCCTTAGACAGAATCCTTTCATGATACTCAACCATGTACTTCATATTTTCTGTCACTTTGATCAAGGACAAACTACAATACTCGATATGGACAATCTGCATTTTCAAAAAAAATAAAAACGGTTTTTTATTAATCCGCCTGATCCTCATCGCCTGAAACTTATCAAATAATATGAGCAGATTTGTAAAAAAATATTTTATGTATTCTATTACATGCACAACTTATGACCTGTACTATTCTTTGTGCTTTGTGCTTGATATAACTAGGTTGCAAAATTTTCCAAGAGATAAAGGTTTTGAATTAATATACCATATTATATTTTCTTGTTTCTTAATGTATTAAGTCCAATCGAATGAACTTCACAAGATGCAAATTAAGTCAGGGTTTTTTGCATTGGAATCAAATATAGAGTTCAATTTTAAAATAATCGGAAAGAATGAAAATATTCACAGATAGAAACCCTTTAACACTTATGTTCTAATTATTATTGATGAGAAAAACTACTTTAGTACAAAAATATGTAATTCACATTAAGAAATCTGGAGAAAAATGCACTAAATTAAGGATCGATAGATTCAAAAAAAATCAAAATTGTTTTATATAAAATGTTTTTCATCGTAATGCATAAATTGAAGAATAAATCTAGACTCAAATTGTAGGAAAAAATAGCAAAGTACTTATTCTAATGAATTAGATTAAAGATCGAAATACTGAGAAAAAGACAGATTACAGATGAACATAGCTCTTTTAAATCTTAAGAATCCAGGATAAAATTTTATGCAAGACCTAACATAAGTAAATAATGATTTCTTGAATAATACATTTTGCTACATTTCAATGGGTTCAAGATTGTGACGATGATCTTTCCATTACCTTCCCAAATGCCAGAGTAACTCCGAACATTATCGAAAAAATATGGACTTGTGGAATCAAATCCGTATTTTTGACTCCCAATATAATTATGGAAACTATCATAAACTATGATATTTCCTTTAGGATAATCCAAAGCTTTCGTCAATGCCCATGAACTACCTCCACCCGAACCTCCATTCCCATTCAATCCTGCGAATCCTCCAAACCAACCAGCTCCTGCACCTGGACGGTCGCTTGCACCTTCAGAAGATTTCACTCCTTGATTATGTAATGATGAATATTGTCGAGGAGATTCTCCATATCCAAAACTGAAGCCAAATGTTGAATTTGCCAATCTTTCACCATTATAAGCTCCATTAACCCAATAACCTTGTGATATTTTTCCACCTCCTGAACCACCTGAGCCATCATCTTGTTGAAGAAATATATTAAAATCACTTGCAGAGTTGTCCGAACCTCCTCCACCACCGCCCACAATCACACGGTGCCAGAGATCGTTTTTATCAAATTTGACACATGTTTGGCCGCCTCCGCTCCCTGCCCCATTATTTTCCACGCTTAGATACCAATTAGCTGCATAACCTCCCCCACCATATCCTCCTGGGATCATATTTTGTGTGAAATAGCAATCTTCTGTATTAGCTACCTGATTATTATACTTATAGATTCCATGCCCACCAATTGTGAAAAAAGCGGTTGTTTGTTTAAAAATTTTTATTATTCCAGAGATATATCCCCCTGATCCTCCTCGGCTGTTCAACTGTTTACATTTTGTGTTTCCTCCGAATGTAGAAACAATACTTTGACTCATGCAATTTCCACTAGAATCAATGAATGTAGAAATTCTTCCTTCTTTTGAACCTCCAGATGCTCCATACAATTCAAACTTGTACACACCAGCCGATAAACTAACAACATAATCTGTGCATTTACTATTTGATGTACATGGATACCTGAAAATATATCTTTTATTCATATAATCTACATTTACATTTTCCGTTCCAAGAAATTCATTATCAAGATGATATGAAAGCATAGGTTTATTCTATGCTTGATTGCCAGCATTAATGCTCTGAACTGTTAGCAGAAATTGAAGCTCTATTCGTTAAAGAATAGCACATATATTCTATCATTTTTAAATAGAAAAAATATTAAAATTCAAATAAAAAAGCAAATATAGCAGTGAATTTTAAATTTTTAAACGAGGCCCAACAAGAAAAAATAATGATTCCTTGTATAGTATATTTTGCTGCATTTTAATGTACATAGTATTGTGATGACAAGTTGCCCATCACCTTCCCAAACGCCAGAATAACTTCGAACATTATCGAAAAAATATGGACTTGTGGAATCAAATCCATATTTTTCGCTACCAATATAATTATGGAAGCTATCATATGCAGTGATGAATTCTTTCGGATAATCCAAAGCTCTCGTCAATGCCCATGAGCTTCCTCCTTCTGAACCTGCATTTCCATTCATCCCTGCGAATCCTCCAAACCAACCAGCTCCTGCACCTGGACGATCGCTCTCTCCGTCGGCTGATCTCACTCCGTAATCACTTAATGATCCATGTTGCTGTGCAGATTCTCCATATCCAAAGCTGAAGCCAAACCTCGAATTTGCAGATTTTTCACCAAAATAATTTACATCTTGCCAATAACCTTGAGCGGTAAAGCCGCCTCCCGAACCTCCAGAGCCATCGTCGAATCCTTTGAATGTTGAGAAGTCAGCGCCGGTGTTGTCTGAGCCGCCGCCGCCCCCACTCACAATCACACGATGCCAGAGATCGTTTTTATCGAATTTGACACATGTTTGGCCGCCTCCGCTCCCTGCGCCACTATTCTCACTAATAAAATGCCAGTTAGCTGCGTAGCCCCCACCCCCATAGCCCCCTGGGACCATATTTTGTGGGTAATAGCATGCATCTGAGTTTGCTTCTGGAATAATAAATGAATGAATTCCTCGCCCGCCAATTGTAAGAAAAGCGGTTGTCGACTCAAAAATTTTGATAATGCCAGAGATGTATCCGCCCGAGCTACCTCTGCTATTCTGCTTTCTGCATACTGTGTTGCCTCGAGCAGCAAGAACTATATCCTGACTAGAACACTCGCCATTAGAATCTATATATGTGGACACTTTATTCGGCTTTGAGCCTCCGGAGGCTCCATATAACTCGAATTTATATACTCCGATGGGTAAATTAACGACGTAATCAGTACATTGACTATTTGAAATACAAGGATACCTAAATACATACCTCTTTTTGTTCTCATCAAAACTTACGTTAGTTCTTCCTAATGAATCATCTACTAGATGATATGATAACAGTTTAACGGATCATATCTTCTTGAAAACATCGTAAAAATATGCAGTTCATCTGCATTAAAATGAATTTCCTTTGTCTGCAGGTTAGCATATTTTAAATCACAGCTCTTCTTATCCATAAAATTTTGGAATACCTTTAAATATTTCATTGATCGTAAACTGTCTTTATTATTTCTAAGTTATATAGGATCACTATGCAAAACTATTACTACTCTAAGTTTCTTGCTTGGAATTTTCTCCAAATATAACGTGATTTTAAGATTAGTGCGTTTTTTGTATGAGACTGTTATTACACTAATGCAAAATAATGCCTCTCTATAAAACTGCATGTTAAAAACTTTTGTTTAATGATATAATTTAATACGTCAAAAAATATGCTAAAAATACATGGATAATAGTTATAAAATTGATTTAGATAAATAAAGTGTGTGGTAGAGAACTGAAGCGAATCATAAAGCTACAAAATATTAAAAATATTATATTGAGTATAGGTTGGAATCCAGCCAATTAGTTGTTTTTATAAGCATTCTTCGAGATATGGCCAATGATGCTAACATCGTCATCTTCATTCTCTAAATTAAAATCTTCTAATATGTAATTGTTTGAACCTTCAACAGAACCTATAATTTCGATCTTATTTAGGGCTATGCATGGTGGATCACCTGGGCAGGGCTCATCCTGTATTAAACGAACGTACTTAGTTGCGTAAGTTTCGCTAAATTTATGTTGTAAACAGAAATTCATCAAAAGTGACACCTCAGAAAAGCTAAAATATTGAATTTTTGGAACTTTTGATAGAGCACGTTTTTAAATATTAATTAAAGTAAATGTATATTTTGTAAAGATTCTTGTTAATAAAAAAATAAAATTTTGAAGAAGAACACAAAATCTTCTGAAAAATAATATCACATAAACTCATATTATTTTCTAATATATAACTATTTTATATAAAATCAAATTCAATGATCTTAAAAGCGAAGGATAAACCTCAAAATTTCGAATATAATGAGTGGGAATATAATGCTTATCTATCATAAAACCATATGAAATATCAATTTTTGCTTTACGCCTAATTTTTGACGACAATTAGCAAAAAATGTTAAATGTTAACACTCAGTCCATTTGAATATGAAAAATAAAATTGACTTTGATTAAATGTTTTTATTTATCATGCAATTCTTCTTGCGACCAAAGATTTGAATAAAAGTTCAAAAAATAAGATAGCTTAAAAAATAATATACGGTAGTGTTTACTAATAGATGAATAGTATATAAATTCTATTAAAATGGATTTGATCCAAAAAAATATAAAACCAAAAATAATTGTTAATAATTTAAATGAAGAAGTAATTTAAAACGATTTATTTATGATCAAATTTTATATATTTTTTGGATCAAATCCATTTTAATAGAATTTATATACTATTCATCTATTAGTAAACACTACCATATATTATTTTTTAAGCTATCTTATTTTTTGAGAGTTTTATTCAAATCTTTGGTCGCAAAAAGAATTGCATGATAAATAAAAACATTTAATCAAAGTCAATTTTTATTTTTCATATTCAAATGGACTGAGTGTTAACATTTAACATTTTTTGCTAATTGTCGTCAAAAATTAGGCGTAAAGCAAAATTGATATTTCATATGGTTTTATGATAGATAAGCATTATATTCCCACTCATTATATCGTAAATTTTGAGGTTTATCCTTCGCTTTTAAGATCATTGAATTTGATTTTATATAAATAGTTATATATTAGAAAATAATATGAGTTTATGTGATATTATTTTTCAGAAGATTTTGTGTTCTTCTTCAAAATTTTATTTTTTTATTAACAAGAATCTTTACAAAATATACATTTACTTTAATTAATATTTAAAAACGTGCTCTATCAAAAGTTCCAAAAATTCAATATTTTAGCTTTTCTGAGGTGTCACTTTTGATGAATTTCTGTTTACAACAAAATTAAATCATTTACAAACCATTTCAAATCGTATTTTCCTCAAAATTAAATCTCAGATCAATTTTTTCAAAATTGAAAATTTACAATGTTTAAAATTTGATGCTTGTTCGAATATAATTATTTCCGATTTAAATTTTTCCCATCTCTTGTAATTTCAGTCTTGAAATTATTAACAGTATATTTTACATTATTGCATTTTATTCCCTATATTTGTTTTAGTTTTCAATTTCAATGGAATAAAATATCTTTCAAAAATTGAATTGTATTTCAATATTTTCTGATTTTTGATTAAAATAATCTTGGTCAAATCATTGATTTCATGATTCCTGGAACCAAACTACACGTCAACTGGCATTTGCGCAACCAATATCAGTGTTTTCTAAAGTTTTTATCTCAAATTTCAAAAAATAATAAATTTCGAAATATCCAAATTATCATTGAATAGCATTACATAATAACAAAAATAGCATCATATGCATCATTTAATTATATTGTTTATTTTGCATTTATTTTGATTAATTCGATTTTACTATTCTTAATGTTGCTAGAAATTTATTACATGTCATTCGATATAATGCCAGCATTACAGTTTCTCTCTAAAATTCAAAATTAAATATTTTTCAAGATTTTTGACGCATATTGAATATTTCTGCAATCATTATATGATAAATGATTTATACTATAATTTGTTCAGTAAATACAACATTCCAAAAAACAAATATCAACTAATTTTAATATTCATGGGCCTAGAAGTGTCTCAATAATAAAATAAATTGTATCTATCTTAATCATTATTGACCGCATACGATTTCTCATCTTCAATAGAGAAAGATTGGGATACAGAATTTTTGCGCAATTTTTATTTTATCCATTAGAAAAATCTAATATTTGGGTGCAAATGTACTATAATTTTACAATATTATTAGATAATATATTGATATCCATCAAATTTTAATTATTTATATAAACATACTTTTCTGACCTTTTCTTTACTACTTTACATTATAGTATAATTATCATGTATTACTTGAAAATACATAATTATTTCATATTGTTTCATCATAGATGATATTATAAATGATACCTTTTGAAAAATATTTATCCCATATGTAAACAGCTAGATTTTGTTTTGCATTCTTATTGAGTTGTGCCACAATAAAAGATTTATTGATAATGTTTATGTATATCTATCCTAAATCGCATAATTAGTTCCAGTTCAATTTTATTAATTCACCTGGATAAGTAAACACTTTAGTATAAATTTCCTCTGTTTATCTGTTTCTTATCCTGATCAATAAACTTTGGGAAAAAGTTTACATGATCCAATAAAAAAACTTCAATCATAAAAATATACGAATTATTTATATAAAACAAATAAAAAATATTATTAAATTACTGGTTATTAGTTGCTAATGAAAATGATCCTTCGAACTCTGATTTCTGTTTAAGAGAAACGAAGTATGTTAATTGGTTACCTTTACCTTTCAAGTAAATCGAGCCTCTTTCTTCGATCACGAAATCTAAGTCTTGGATTAATTCCTTTGTATTTCCGGAAATTTGAACATTTCCAGGGATATCAGTAGATTGCAATCTTGCAGCGACATTAATTGTATCACCAATGATATCGAATGTTGGTTTATCTGTTCCCAAAACGCCACCAATAAGTGGGCCACCACTGTTTACACCAATTCTTACTTCAAGGGAAGCATTCAATTTCATATTAATTTCTTCCATTGATTTGGCGCATTGGAGGCAGCATCTAACAGCATCTTCTGCGTGTTTGTTACTTTGTTCATTTGGATCTTGGAACAAACCAGCAGCAGCCATATAAACATCACCAATTAATTTGATCTTTGTGATGCTTTCGTATTCGGCAACAATTTTATCGAATGTTGCGAATACCAATGACAAGTTTGCCATAATTTCAGTTGGGGTAAGAGAAGCAGCATAAGCAGAGAACTTGACAATATCGATGAAGAAAATTGTTGATGCAGGAATTGTGAAAGAAATATCGGTTTCTCCTCTGTTGAGTCTGACAACGATATCCTTTGGTAAAATTTGATACAACAATTTCTCTGATTTAGCTTTGGCTTCTTCGGCATCTTTTCTCTTCTTAATTTCATCTGTTTCGTTTGTGAAAATGAAAAGAATTGAGCTGATTTCGTTTGAATCTTCTCTGTCTTTCATGCCAATCATTGTAATAGCGAATGGAATCAACTCAGCTGTTTCACTGACTAACTCAATATGATCTTGCCAATAATTTGATCCTTGTCCTGACATCATCAAATCAATTTGTTGATTCAATCTCTGTTGATCTTTGTCAGCAACGAAATTAGCAATGTGCTGACCAAGCATTTGATCTGGTGTAATATCCAAGTTGTTTTGAACACTTGGGTTAATGATTTGGATAACTGCAGACTGGTTTGTGATGATAATGCATTCGCTTGCATCCATAACAATTGACTTAGAAATAGTCATCCTTTCTTCTTTGTTGGACTTCTTGTTTCTCATGAAGACGTTCATGATTTCTGGTGTGTCAATGATTGTTTGTGGTGAAATGTGCTTGAAATACATCAGCAAGACCTTGTAGTTCTCATTGACGAAGTATCTGAACAACCATGGCATAGCTTCAATAATACATGACAAGATAACATTTACAATGAGTAAAATTGTAACTAATCTTGTACCACTGACATAATTGTTCTCAAGGATGTCTCTCATTCTGATTGTTCCTTGAATAACTTTTGAGAAGAAATGCCACTGCAAAATATGAGCAACATTTCCTGAAACTTCATCATTGATTGATCCTTTGTATTTAGTTGGATTATTCAAGATATCATTGACCATGTTCTTGAAAATGGTGATTTGGCTTTCCAAACCAGCGCATGCATACATATCATGAACAGACTTTGGATCATGTGGTAATTTGCAGCTTTCTTCTAATTGTGCTGCATCGTATGCTTTGTCATATCCGATGATTGATTTGACATCTGAATTACCATTTACTAAGATATTGTTAGTCTGAATCAAAAGATCCAAATCTTCAACACATCTATTCCTTAATTCAGGGATTGTTGTTATGTTCTGTTCTATTGAGCCATTTCCTAACAAAATGAGATGTACAACGTTATGGCCTGTCTGAATAGCAGCCAAAACTCTCTCTGCAGAGTAGTAATACCAAGCATACATTGTTGAGATTTTATTGTTTAATGTCCATGCTTTCCAAACCATTACACAGAAGATAATGATGATTGAGAACAAAAGTGCGAAGAAACATTTAGCAATATTATTCATTGCATGACTCTGTTTAACTTTATTGTTATGGCTTTGCTCTTCATTTTGAGAATCTAAAACTAAAGGTCTCTTTGAATCTTCTTTAACAGCTTGTGGCAATGCAACTAACATCTTCAAAGTCTTATTGATCATGAAGTTATATGTATTAATGATGATTAAAGCTGGAGCAGCTGAGAAGAAGAACAAGCAAATTGCACCAACAATCATCCAGATCTTGAACAACTTAGTGTAACTATTTGCAGTATTAATATTGTATTCAAGAATTGATTTCATTGCAATTGCAGAGTTTTCAGACATAATAATAGTGCTCAAGTAAACTTGGCACCATTCATTAGTCTTGTATAAGTTTGGAATTGATGTGTTCATGCTGAAATCGCCAGCAAATTGTTCTTGGAAGTAGTTCAATGTGATGATTTGGTCTTTGACAGATGCACTTAAAATTTGTGTTGGAGCGCCCTCTGTGCAAACTTTTAATTCACTTGTTTGCTGCAAAAGATTTGTTGCAATAGTATAAATATTGTTTGATTCTGCTAAAACAGCAAAACTGTCTAACAATGTCTTCAATGAATTCCTTGAAAAGTTTACAGCATAATTGATTTTTCCTGGGTAAGAAAGCGATTCACTTACAACAGGTGCAGTTGTTCCATTATCAATAGAAACATCTCCTAAAATTGCAGTTGAATCATCGTATTTTCCAACATTCTTTGCCCATTTCAATACTGTTAAGAAGTCTGCATAATAAGTGAAGAAGAGAGAATATGCACTAACTCTGATGTCACTCCATGATGTTCTTCTCCATTCGATCTTGTTCATGAAGAAAGCATAGAAGCCGATGTTAATTGAGAGGCATGTAACGATTAAAATTGTTGCTGCACCAATGATTAATGTAGATTGAATTGGTCTCATTCCATTAATACCTTGGTGGAAAGCTAATCTAACTTTTGCATCTCTCAACATTCTCTTGCAAACAATTTCTTGGTGTTCAAAATCAACAGAATTTGTTGATTCGAATGATGATGACATTCCACTAGAATTTGAGCCATTCGATGATGAAGCTTGTGATCTATCATCATTTCCTTGATGTCTCTTAATAACTCTTCTGCCTTTTGTATCGAGAATGTTGTCCTTGAGGTATCTTGGGAATTTGTTGACGACACTTCTGAATGAGATATCGACATTGAAGTTTTTGCCATTACCAATGTATTCAGCTCTGATTGATTGGACAATTGCTCTATCGAAATCAGTCATACATTCGGCCAAAAAGTTCGCGTATTCATTAGTAATTCTGAGGTTGTTTGGATTTGTACTGATTGCGAACTTGAAATAAGCATTGACATCATTCAAAATCATTGATAATGAAGATAAGAAACCGACATCAATATTTGGCTGGTCCCATAATCCTCTGATCATTGATTTGCAGTCATCATTCTTTTGTTTCAGTTTGTTGAACATTTCTAATGTATCTTTTGTATCTGAAACTAATCTTCTCGTCTTGATTCTGTAGACCTGATAAACTAAGAATCTATCTGCATATGAGAGTTTTCTCTTCATCAATAATTTCTTGAATAAAACATCCATTTTACGAGATTCTGATGGGAAAAATGTGACAACTTGCAAAAGCATAGACATTGTTGCTTCGAGTGAATCATTGTTAATAATGTAATCTGTTAATGATCCGTCAACAAAGTAATCACCTAATCTTGCTAATCCGACAACAATGTACATCATTGCGCGATGAGAAGATCTTTCGATACCTAATGTGGACAAATATTCTGATGCTGATGTAACATCTTCTTGGTATGTTAATTGCTGTTTTATTTTGGCAACTTTCTTGATGAAATAAATTGTTGTCAAAATATAAGCAATACATAAGACAATAAGGAATACAAAGATTGTGTAGTTGTATGTTAATGATGGGACTGCATAAAGAACAAAGAAATTGCAATCCAATGCACATGTTGTAATTCCGATCGCTAAACATGTAGAGTTTCTCCAAACTTCATAGAATGGAATGAATGATAGGCGATAGCAAACATATAATGTGGCTAAAAGATGGACAACGCCGAGAACCACATAAAACCAATCGTCAAAGAACTTAATTAAAGCTGATAAAATACAACCAAATGATGTCATGATTGTCCATATTGTAATGGGTGATGAATCAAACAATGGGAATGGAAGATTTGTTAATACAACTGATCGAGATTTCAACAGAATACTGGAAACAAATGTGAACAGGAATAAACAGTATGATATAAATCCAACAATGATTTCCGCAAGAAAAACTGTGTCATAATTGAATGACATTCCAGTGATACCATGACATAAGACATAGGTAGCAGGAGTAATGAAGGAAGGGCATATTAAGTCTGTTACTATGCTAGATATGTACAATAGTAGAGTTGGAATTATATATTTCTTATTGTTATAGAAAATCATCAAATAGATCCATATGAGTGAACATAATGAAACAGCTAAACAGATATAAACATTAACTATATGTTTTCCTTCATAATCTAGAGGGTCCTGAAAAGTAAAAATCTTGATTAATGTCTCATATAACGTGTGCCATCTTCCAGTACTTCGCTCAAATGGAGGAGCGTAAATCCAAAAACCAATAGAAAGAACTTGGAAGAGATTAAAAACTGCAATGAGGCTTAAGAACCAAGCTGGGAACTTTGTTCGTTGCATCATTTGATCATAAAGTGGGAAAAGAGTATCGACTACTGTACTCTTTCCCTGGATAACCTCACTAGTAAGCTGAGTACTTGTACTTGTACTCGCTGATTGTGTTGATTTAGAAACAGAGGCTTCTCCTGGATTCATTCGTAATTATATAAATTTATATTGTTTTGAGAACGATTTTTTCAATCCAAAAAGTAAAAAAATGCTCAAATAAAATGAGAATGACTCATAGATAATTTTGTTGCAATTATGTTAGTAAAGAATTTGAATTAAATATTATGCTCAAAATAAGTATTGAAAATAAAAAAACGTTTTTATATTTCTGAAATAAAAAACATTTCGCTTAGAAAATAGAAACGAAACAAATCAGTGAAAGTATAATCAGAAGTAATATTAGAGAAGAATTCTTAAGAGAAAATCCGTGGGTATTGAAAAATTAAGTTAAACCGGCAATGTGAAATCTAATTGAAAATACTATTTAAGGATATGTGTAATCTTAATCAGTGTTGAAATTGTATAAAAATAAAGCGAAAGTTAATAAAATCTTATAACCGGATTGAGAAGAATAGGTTTGTGATGTTAATAGAAAAAATAAAGTAGGCAAATTGAAAATGTTTGATCGTCAAAGTGATAGTGGATTGATATTAGAACTGGATTAAATGAAATATTTTGTTTAATCTTATACTTACTTGAATGAAATATGATTATTATCATCAGATAATTGATTTTATAAATGAAGAATATAACAATTGTCGCGAAAAAGCCCTGAAAATTGAACTTGAATTCAATATTTAAAAAACAAACGTATTTGAAAAAACCAAAAGATGTTAACTCGTGAAAATAGATCGCATTAGAACCTTAACACTTGTTTGATAAATTATATGTTCCTTTCAAAATGCATGAATTTTGAATGTGATTGAAAACTTAGCATAACCAAAATTGGTTAAAAACCTCTAAATACTATATATTGCTTATGTTATTCGATAACAATATTAATCAAAACGTTTAAGGGTGCACCCGTATGTATGTTTATTTGAGAGGAGGAGGATTACCCTCTCAATTTTGAGGGATTCGTTAGTTTATTTTCTCGATGAATATGCAATAAAATTTGATTTTTACCTTATCAATATACTTCATATAATATACACATATTCATGTAAAAACTTTTTTCCACAATACTCAGGAATTAAGCGATTTTTGAATTTTAAGAATTTTTTCGAATTTCTTCGAAAAAAAAATATTTTCAGAACAGCCTTAACGGCTAAGATTTAGGAACAATGTTAAGTATCAAAAAGAAAGGAGGTCTGATATAGACAACATATATCGTTGAAGGTTGAAAAAATCTCTAATATTTGAGCCCAAAATTTCAAATTTTAATTTTTTGAAAAAAGAGGCCACCCGTATGTACGTTTATTTGAGAGGAGGAGGATTATATTTTTGAAAGGGTGAAACATTATGAATATGTTAATTATATAATAATATGTATTATTATAAAAAAGAAAAAATAAAGCACTTTAATTTTTTTCTTTCTTGATTTTTTACAAAATCTACTTAGAATTATGCAAAATATGACTAAATAATTATAAATTTCAAGTTAAATTTTAATTTTGATAAATAATTTAAATTTCAAAATACCAAGTTCAGTTCGACTATGTATGTAGTAATTCCTCAATAAAGTGCCAAAACCCTATTAAAATATATGAACATTTTCAACATTTTAATGTTTTTATTTAAAAATTTGATGGAATATGAGCTTCAAACAATTATTATGTAAATAAAAATAATTAAATATATGTATTTATTCGTATTACAACCGTAGTAAGTCGATTCTTCCTTTCTTCTACTGAGGTTTGAATTTGATTTCGAATTGTAAAGAGATTCAAAGGGAAAATACTAGCGGATAAAAACTACCTCCATGAAAGGGTCAGAATGGAGTCAAGTTGTATTTTTTGATATTTTTTGCTTTTCGAGCCTAAATAGGTAGCCAAGATAATGCCTAAAATAAGGTTCTAAATTCTGAAGTTTACATGATCCTCTCGTGTGCACCCTTAAAGTTTATGAAATTTGGTTATCAAAATTCAATTCCAAAAAATTGAATAGGATTTCTATAGACAATCAAGTGTTAATATTTAAATATAGGTATATGTTAGATATTGAATTTTTCTATTTAAATCAAAAGTGTTCGTCAATCATTTTAAATTTGCTTACTGATTTTATTTTCAATGTCACTCCTGTTTGTTATGTTAAATTCTTGAGAAATCAAACAAATATCTATATATTTTCAAATCTTTTTCAAATACGATTTCATATTTTGCAGTGTTATAGACCGAAAATAGATTTTTTCGGTTTTCTCTTCAAATAATTGAAAGAATGATACTATTATAGGTTTATTATATTATATAGCATATAATCATGCTATAGCCGAAAATTATAAGTTTTGAGAAGATTGAATATAACACAAATAAATTTGAATGTAAGTTAAATTGCTTGTTGTTTTTAATAGCTATTTAATGAGAAATCCAATATTGCAAAATTCAAATTGAATGATTGAAAGAACAGAAAAAGTCATTCTTTTCAATTTCGAATATGTTTCATTGTATTTATAATTATATGGCAAATAAGATATTTAAACTTGATTTTTGAAGGAAAATTCACAAAATTGAATAAATTCAAATAATTTAATATATTTTGTGAGATCAGATTGAATTAATTCAAGGTTCTTTTCAATTAATATTAATGACCATATTACGCATTTTCGAACATTCTAAACCAAATATATAAAAATGGGAGACGAATGTTAAATTTGCTAGACATGGGGGAGTTGTCTGCAAAGTTTTAGCTCTTATCTCTAACAAAAAATTAATTTTTAAAAAAATGACCGAATACGTTTCACAGCGAGAAAAAAATAAAAGGCAAGATAGAATTTTCTAGACATAAAGAAGTTGTTTACCGAGTTTTAGCTCTTATCTCTAACAAAAAATTAATTTTTAAAAAAATGACCGAATACGTTTCACAGCGAGAAAAAAATAAAAGGCAAGATAGAATTTTCTAGACATAAAGAAGTTGTTTACCGAGTTTTAGCTCTTATCTCTAACAAAAAATTAATTTTTAAAAAAATGACCGAATACGTTTCACAGCGAGAAAAAATAAAACTGTACACTGATTTTCATTTTCATTTCCAGTCACTTTACTTATTATTTTTTCTTTTTTTCATTTTAATTATAAATTATTTCATAATACGTTTATTTACGTTACCATTTTCTTTATTCTTTTGAATTCCATACTAGACACTTATAGAATATTTTGATTGTTAACGTACTTCATTAGAATGAATCCTTACAAAGGGTATGTCGATCGAATTTACCTAATTGGTATTTCCAATCAGATTGAAGAAGGTAAAATGACATGGGAAGAAGCTTGCACCCATGTTCCCATCGCCCCAACCCTTCAATCAAATGATTTCAAATATTTAGATGTTTCAAAATCTTTTTTACAAAATCAATTTAGCTTACAGAATATCCCATTGCCTAAAGGCAAGAAAGGTCGTAGGGTCAATCCCTACGACCAAATCAAAGCTCTTGCTGTGATACATGACCACTGGGCCTTTCCTGTGGTCAAACAAAACAATGGAAACGTTTGAAATTACAACAAATTGATGTATCTTATAGAGAAGTACGCAGATACTTCAAAGAAATCATTTCACCAAGACGCGATTAGAGCATGCCGGGCCGGAAACAGCAGTAAGATATTGGGCGCTTTCACCCAATCTTATCTGGCACGCAGATGTTCATTATTTTAGGGGTGTTCGTGGCCAGTATATTTATGGCATAATCGACGATTTTAGCCGCAAAGTCCTAGCGTGTATACAAATACCAGATATGCTGGCAGCGACGAACAGCGAACGTTGCGGCTTCCGCCTTCATTGAATTTGGCGCCCCTTATTGTTTCTGGACCGACAACGGTTCAGAAAATAGGGGCGCCTTTCAAGATCTACTTGATCTTTGGGGCGTCCAATGGCGGCATACAGACTCTCATTCTCCTACCAAAATGGGAAGATTGAGAGATTCTGGCCGACATTGGAGCGCTGCCAAAGCATTCAGGCTATTCCTGCCTTTATTTGGGAGTACAATAATAACACACCGCATGAAGATCTCCCAATTAATCCATTAACTGGAACAAATTACACGCCAAATCAAATGTATCAGCTGAAACCGAAATACACAAATGCAGATACAGAAAGGTTGTGGCAAATATGGGATACAGATACAGGCATGACCGCTGTTGACACATTCACAGCGTAATAATAAACATAATTTTTTAATTTCATTTTTAACAAGTTTTTTTGAATGTATGTAATGAATAATTCATTAGAATATGATAATGCACATTGTAACAGAATAGAACAATCACCAAATTTTTTTTTGAAATTAAAAAATAAAAGTAAAAAGTATAAAGTAATCTAACCAAAAAAGATATTTAAAAGAATTTTGGAAAAAACAGAATAAGGATAATGATATTATTTTAGATACACAATCGATGTACTGAAGAATAATCCGGTAAAATGATGATATAAAATTAGATTATTTTACAAGTAGCTAAAAGAATAAAACTATAATATAAAATAAATGAAGTTTAATGAAACAATAAAGGTTAAATAAATAATAAAGATTTTTATTTTATATCAGTATTGAGAAGAAGTAACAGCTGACACTTGGTAGACAACTTCTTTATGTCTAGAAAATTCTATCTTGCCTTTTTATTTTTTTCTCGCTGTGAAACGTATTCGGTCATTTTTTTAAAAATTAATTTTTTGTTAGAGATAAGAGCTAAAACTCGGTAAACAACTTCTTTATGTCTAGAAAATTCTATCTTGCCTTTTATTTTTTTCTCGCTGTGAAACGTATTCGGTCATTTTTTTAAAAATTAATTTTTTGTTAGAGATAAGAGCTAAAACTCGGTAAACAACTTCTTTATGTCTAGAAAATTCTATCTTGCCTTTTATTTTTTTCTCGCTGTGAAACGTATTCGGTCATTTTTTTAAAAATTAATTTTTTGTTAGAGATAAGAGCTAAAACTTTGCAGACAACTCCCCCATGTCTAGCAAATTTAACATTCGTCTCCCATTTTTATATATTTGGTTTAGAATGTTCGAAAATGCGTAATATGGTCATTAATATTAATTGAAAAGAACCTTGAATTAATTCAATCTGATCTCACAAAATATATTAAATTATTTGAATTTATTCAATTTTGTGAATTTTCCTTCAAAAATCAAGTTTAAATATCTTATTTGCCATATAATTATAAATACAATGAAACATATTCGAAATTGAAAAGAATGACTTTTTCTGTTCTTTCAATCATTCAATTTGAATTTTGCAATATTGGATTTCTCATTAAATAGCTATTAAAAACAACAAGCAATTTAACTTACATTCAAATTTATTTGTGTTATATTCAATCTTCTCAAAACTTATAATTTTCGGCTATAGCATGATTATATGCTATATAATATAATAAACCTATAATAGTATCATTCTTTCAATTATTTGAAGAGAAAACCGAAAAAATCTATTTTCGGTCTATAACATTTCATATTTTGCAGCGAGTCTTACTTGTTCTTAGTAAGCTGTGTTAATTTGCTAAGTTTTCAAATTATTTGCCAAATCTATGATTAATTGATTTTTTCATCCATTCTCAACCAAACAAGAAGACTTTAAAATACTTCATCTGATTACCTTCAATCTTGTGTCCTGGTCTCTTAGATAATTTGATTTTAATTCTTCTCCATTCGCGATCTTTTTAAATCTTTATGATTTCAAGTAATTCTGTTTCCAAACATTAGCTTTAATTCTAATGTGCAAAACGTTAAATTAAAATAAATATCCAATAAATCATGAGTCTATGATTTTATATATTATTATCTAAATATAAATAAAAATGAAATAAACAATTCATTACAAACTTATTAAGGTTCATTTACAATAGAATAACTATGATTTTACCAAAACATTAGTTAATGATTCTAAAATGACTAATAATCTTACTAAGAAGGGCTTACAGCTTCAAAATCTAATAAAATACTAATATATGATTTTTTAGTAGTTTGGAACAAAGGATTTACTTATTTTTAACAAATTATGGCATTGAGTTTTGGAACTATGATTCCTCATTCAATATTATAATAACATTTCCATTTGCTACATTAGGAGGTTGTATAATGATCGTAGCTGAATCAAAGAATTGAAAAAAAATTTGCTCGAAAATACGATTAAAAATATAATAATTCGGTATGAGAATAACTATCAAGGGTTAACACTAAGGATGTCAATTCGGAAAATTGTTTTCATTTTAGGAGAATATAATTTTCCTTTTGGAAAATTTAAAAAGTGAGACGCGCAGGATTCGAACTTTTTTAAAAGTTGATTTAAATATATTCTAGTGTGGATTCTAAGGATAATATCATATTTAAAATAAGAATATACTAGTTTAGGTGGTATAATTTTTTTCGATAAATTTGAGAGCATGTACGTTTAGGACATCAAAAGTGTCAATTCGCTCAGCGAAAGCTAAGCTAGCTTCGTTCTCGAAAGAATAGGGAAGGAGTGAAAGAGAGTGATACAGATGTTGACACATTCATATCATTTCAACAAATTTTGATCAAATTGAAATGCAATGAAATTCAATTCACTTCATATCCTTCAGTCAGTACATTGACATCCTTCTACATCACAATGATAACTCGTGCATCAATAGTTCTACAACTAACTCAGATAAAACAAGATTTTTCCTTCCAGCTTACAGCTTTTAAAAAGTTTCGATGATAAAAATCACTCTACTCTTGTTTATCTATATGTTGTGATAGTAGGTAAACGTATTCTTATCGATATTAATAAAAATATTTTTACGAAAATCTGAACCAATTACAGAGTTATTCATAAAGTTTATGATAACTGTAATTACTTCATCTTTGTTTTATATTTGAATAAACAATTTAATTTAATTTGCATAATTTTTTTTAGTTGAAAGACAGGAAACTTAGTTGAGTTTGTATTATTTTTATCGTTCAATTCATTGTATATGTGAGTGATCCAGATATTTAAGATATTTAGAAAAAATTTATTAATTTGATTAACAAATTTTAATCAAAATAGCAAAAATCTATTTGATATCTGTAAGCAAATAATAATTTCTATTTCAACCAAAATCGCTGATTTTCATCTAAACGTATAAAATTGTCAATTTTATGAGAATAAATTTAAAATCTCATGAAATATAAAGGAGAGTAATATTTTTCAATTTTCTTTTTCTTTCTCTCAAATATTTTCTATTGGGAATTTTCTTGTTATCAAAAATAATTTTAATATTTGTTTATTTTATTACATACAATAAAATTTTAAAAACTCTATTTCTTCACAAGAAAATTTTTTTCCTTCATATGAAGAAACATTTTGTTCTCCATTTGATACTGAGTCTAAATCTCGATTTTTGAATTTTCTTCTTTCCAAATTTCTTTTTTCCAAATTAGAAGTTTAATTCAAAATTTCAATAGTTTATATTTTTTCTCAAACCGTCTCAGATTTTCTCACTTTTTAGGGATTTTCTCTCAAAATATACAAAAATAGTAATACCAATACATGTGTCTAATATACTTTAAAACCATCGTGACAAAATTCAAAAACGAAGAGTTCTTCTCTCCAAATTTTTTTCAAAATCAAAAAAATGAGATAAAAAAGTACGTTTGGAAAATTCATTTTTAGCATTTTAGGAATTTTCTCACTTTTCTTCCAAATTGACATCCTTATTAACACGAAATCTAAAGAATAAACTTTTCTCTAGTGGGTAATTCGGCAAATTTTTTGACAATATTCACAAAATTGATAAAGTTGTTAAAAACTGCAATATTCAATGGTTAATTCATTAATTAAAATAAAGCTACATGCACGAAAAGTGAATGGTGTAAACTTTTTAAAAAATTCAATGTGTTTAAGCAAGGTTTAGCTTCGTATTCCAAATTTCGAATTGTTATTTTAATGTTTAGTGTCATGTATCACAGCAAAAAAGTTTTTGGTAAAGGAGATTTTTCAATATAAACTTTTGGCGTAAACTTATCAAAAAATCGATTCTATGCAACTCTCAATTTTCATGAAAATTTTATCATCATTATTTCTGAAACACCCAGAGCAAATGTTACTTCACGTAAATATAATGGAATGCAAAGGTCTCCCAACAATGGGCATCCTCAACACAATAAATCCATATTGTGAAATCAGATACGAGAAAAAAGCATATAAAACTACAGTCAAGAAAAATAATACTCATCCACAATGGAACCAATTCTGCTCATTTCCAATTTCCAAACATGAAGGAAAGCTTATCTTCGTTGTGAAAAATATGAAACCATTGATTGATAAAGACGCATCACAAATTGCAATTAATGTTGCAAGTATTCCTCAAGACAAAATTGTTGATCGTTGGTTTGATCTTAAGCCATTAAGATTCAACAAAAAAGGAGGAAAGATTCATATTCGCTTGCATTTAATTAAAAAAGGTGAAAAACCTTTTGTAGATCCTCAACAAGTTTCCAATGAGCCCGAGAAGAAAGATAATATCTTCCAAGAAGCGCCAATTAACGTTCAAAATCAATATTATTACGATCCAAATTCACTAAATCCATATCAGGATTATGATAATCCTTATAATAACCCATAAAGCAATCCAGATGCAGCATACAGATAATTGACTTTACTGTTTGTTTGTTAAATAAATATTAGATTTGTTCAGCTCGAAAACGAATCAATATTTTGGGACTACTTTCAATTTAAATAAGCATTTAATGGATAATCGAGACATTTTAATTTTTATTTTTAAATGCTTCACTGGATTTAATCTAAATACTTTGTTAAAAAGCATTTACATTATTATAAAGAATTATAATTTATGTCAAATGAGTTGAAAAAGCCAAAGTTAAAAAAAAATTATTTTTTCCTTAGATAATAAGGTGACAGTTGACTTTGTCGGCATTTTTTATGTTTTATGAATTTGAGTTTTCCTAAATCATTCAAGACTAGTATTAGATTTTAAGATTACGACAAACGGGGAGGGAAAAAAAATTATATATACATTTTAAAACACTACTTGATGCGCATGCATTGTTCGAAGCGCACAACGTAAATCTCATTTTAAACAAATATTTCTTCAATTGTCATGAAAATAAGGATTGTGCAAGTATCCTATATCTATGTTTGTGAAACGCATAAGCGAGCATTAAGAAAGAAAAAGTGTTTGAAAAGGAGAAATGAGATTTTTTTTCTTTTCAATTTGAAAAAAATAACCGCCTAACAGATCTAAATTTTGAATTAAAATCTGAATTGAAGGTCTTTTTTTGATATGTTGTGATGTTAATATGATAAAGGCTGTCATTCTTTAAATCACTTATGAAAACTTTGATCTGAAAATTTTCAAAAGTATGTAATAAAATATGGTCGAAATCGTCATAAGTTTCTGTAAGAGATTTAATTATTTTTGGTGGTTATCGTTTGATTATTATTATTTTTTTAATCCTCATGTTAGCATGAATATATGAATTTATTTGACAATTGAAAGTCAACTCAAAAGCTTTGAATTTATTGTAAACAATATACAAAATACTTGCATATTCCCTCTTTTTCTCCAGCAAATTTCTATCGATACAAGAGCCTGGATTAGAATCACAATTGGAACCTACGTTCGTCAAACCCGATATTACACCAATTGTAGCGATGAATAATCATTTAATCACTATTGTCAACACAACCATCAGTTCAGCTGTAAGATCAATAGCATATTACAAGTGCGAAATAACAATTGCAGAAAATACCACATTTATCAACAACTAGGCATTTGGCGCCGATTTAACTTCTGGTCACGGCGGAGCCATTTTCGTTTCTCAATCAGTCATACAGTGTTCCTCAAATAACAAGGGATCTAATGTACTCTTTTCCAAGAATAAAGCTTCTCTCGGCGGAGCTATCTGTTCTATTGCTTCTTCTTTTTACATTTCCAATACGACTTTTAGCGAAAACACTGCATACAAGCATGGTGGTGCTGTGTATTTCGAAAACAACTATTGGGAATATGGCTATATTACAAAGCAAATCCAATTTTTATGTCAATATGTAATATGTGAAAAGAATCAAGCGTTCGAACTCGGCGGTGGCTTCTTCATTCATTACTGCGTCGATGTATACTATGAATACTGTCAATTCTTGCGCAACAAGTGCAGTTTTGGAGGTGGAGCAATTGGAACACTCAACGTTGACTATCTTCGAATTCAGAAAACTACATTTTCTGCAAATGTGGTTAATGCAGATGATCCTGATCAGCATACTGTTACCAAAAAGCGAAAACTTAATGGAGAAAATATCGAAGAAGGATTTTCCAACTCGAAATTCCCTACACAGTTCCTTGGAAGAGGTGGCGGTGCCATATTCTTCATTTCCGATGATAAAAAATACACAACTCCATCCGGAACTCCTACATATGAAAGAAGAAATATCGATACTCACCATTGTTGCTTCTTCAAGGACTATGTTGGCCTCACAGGTCAATCATTCGGAAATGGTGGTGGTAACGAAGTAATGCTTGAGGGATATACCGATTATGTTTCATATGACGATTATTTCTATGGTTTTACATGGAAACCATTGCCATCCCAAGTTGTTTCTGTTATTACCAAAGGCTTTGCTGAAGATTGCGTCCAGATGTGGCTGTCAGAGATGAGATATGGAGACATTCCAACTGATATCTGCACAAATATCGTCGAAGATGCTCCAGATTATGTATTTGCCCAAGATATCTCATATGCAAATCCAGTTAACAATGGAAATGAGAACATAACAAGTTTCGTTCCTTCGCCATCAGAATACATTTTGCCAGCCACTCCTTATACAAGAATTCCAAGAGCCACAGATGCCAGAATTACTTTCTCTTCAGCTGAAGCCAATATCGAGGATTCAAATGCCACATTTTTCTCAGCAACATTTGATAAGTTCGAAATTCCACCTGCAACGCCAAACCAAACAGCTTTAGAGACTCCTGTCCCTACTCCATCATTAGAACCTACTGCAACTTTCGAACCAACTCCATTTGCAACTGCCGCAATTACTGCACATGAAACTCCCAAAGAAACCTCTCCAGCAGCAACACCACAGGTCACAACACCTCATCAAACCCCTCAACTTTCTAAAATCCCTCCACGTACTCCAGATCCAACAACACCTCCTGCGACCAATTACGTTGAAACACCAGCTCCAACATCAGTTCCAACACCTGAAAGTGGAAACAAACAGCTTTCTAAAGACGATGATGGAAAAGAAGGTGGAATCAAAGATTATATATTCCTGTAATTGCGGGTGTTGCAGGTGGAGTTGCCGTCGGAGGCATTATCCTCGGCGTTTATTATGGAATAAAGAAGGCTAAAGCTCCAAAGCCTTCAAATAATGAAAATGAATTGTCCGACCAAAATTCAATGAGTAATGAAAATGATTATGAATCGGATGTTGACGCTGGTGAAGCAGGTACTACAATGGATAATCCTCTTCAAGTACAACAGCCATCTGATGACGTTTTTTTACCAAATGATTAATTATGAAATTATTGTGCGGGATTTTTTTCATTTTAAACATTTTAATTTTTATGAAATAACAATTACTAGCTTTTTATCCAATTCTTGATTCATTCCTCAAAAAAAATTAATTATGAAATTATTGTGCGGGATTTTTTTCATTTTAAACATTTTAATTTTTATGAAATAACAATTGCTAGCTTTTAATCCAATTCTTGATAAACTCACTTCTAACATCAATGAAAATGTTGAAAAACTTTGAGTGAAAAAAGATAATCAAAATTGGTGTTAATGCAAAATTACTGGTTAATCTAATCCAAAATTTGAGAAGAAAAAATTGACTGAGAAAAACCGCGATTAAACTTTCAAAGGAATAAAATATTCAAAATTATTCTTAGATGATTACAAAATATATTTAAAGATCATAGAATAAAAAAAATATTATCAAAATTTCATCATAAAGATTTTAAAGATAATAATGATGAATGGGTATGAAAAAGAAGAAAAACTAAAATATTGAATATTTATTCAAAACTATTTGGTATAAGAATTTTTGAATTGACCTCCATAATTTTGTGATGAGTGAAAACGAATCTGGTCCTACTTCTAATGGAGTGAAGAGGAGAAGACTCTTCAGCCCAGCCGATGATTCTAAATTGAAATCAATTCTCACTGATTCTCCATTTAGAGGTTGGAAAAATGTTGCTCAACAAATGTCAGGATTTACACCAAAACAACTTCGTGATAGATGGAATAATTATTTATCTCCGAAAAATACATTCGAACCGTGGACTGATGAAGAAGATAGAATTATTGTTGAAAAAGTATTAAAATATGGGACAAAATGGTCTCTGATATCAACTTATTTGCCTGGAAGACCAGACAACAGCATAAAAAACAGATGGAACTCTGTTTTAAAAAATGAATATATGATTCATCCAAAAAAATATCTAGAAAAAATGAAGGAGAAAGATGTTTCAGAAAGTAAGGATCAGGAAGAAGAGATCCCGGTTAGTGAGTCGCCAGAGAAGTCAAAGGAAAAACCACAATATTACCTTGATAATAGATTTGTCGAACATTTCTTTGAGCAACTTCCGAAATAGCCAGTAGAAATACTGAATTTGCATTATCATATAAAAATTTTGTTTGTTTCGTTTTTGAAAAGTTTGTTTTTATTTTAAAATCACATTGAAAAAATTGAGAAAGCATTCAAATTCATATTTACTAAACTTGTATTAATAGATTCTTTATAAAACAATTAATAAAACATTTCCGATACAGTGATTTATGTCAAATGGGATTAAAAATTTTATCGTCCAATTAAATAATCACAAAAAATTGACATATAACTGAACTTTAATTATTGGCATATATTATTAAGTATGATAAAATGAATAAATTAATTTCAATTTATATAATTTGAAGATTCGATCAATCTTTGGAAGTATGATTAACTTAAATAGACTCATTTATTCCAAATAAAAAAAATTGTATATTTTATAACTGAAATTAAGGGTGCACCCATATGTACGTTTATTTGAGAGGAGGAGGATTACCCTCTCAATTTTGAGGGATTCGTTAGTTTATTTTCTCGATGAATATGCAATAAAATTTGATTTTTACCTTATCAATATACTTCATATAATATACACATGTTCATGTTCATGTAAAAACTTTTTTCCAAAATCCTCAGGAATTAAGGGATTTTTGAATTTTAAGAATTTTTTTCGAATTTTTTCGAAAAAAAATATTTTCAGAACAGCCTTAACGGCTAAGATTTAGGAACAATGTTAAGTATCAAAAAGAAAGGAGGTCTGATATAGACAACATATATCGTTGAAGGTTGAAAAAATCTCTAATATTTGAGCCCAAAATTTCAAATTTTAATTTTTTGAAAAAAGAGGCCACCCGTATGTACGTTTCTTTGAGAGGAGGAGGATTATATTTTTGAAAGGGTGAAACATTATGAATATGTTAATTATATAATAATATATATTATTATAAAAAAGAAAAAATAAAGCACGTTAAAATTTTTCTTTCTTGATTTTTTACAAAATCTACTTAGAATTAAAAAAAAAAAAAAAAAAAAAAAAAAAAAAAAAAAAAAAAAAAAAAAAAAAAAAAGGTAGTGGGGCTTCCAGGCACTTCGTGCCCTCTAGCCCTGAAGATGTTTAGTATAAATGAAGTTTTTATTCGGAGGACTCTTCTTCTTCCTCTATTGCTTCTGGGAAGAAGCCTTCTTCTGGGTCGAAAACATTATATAATGTTTCACTTTTCACAAATTATATATGTTTTCATGTTTTGTCACTTTTCTGTCACTTTTCAGGAAAAAACATTTTTATTATTATATATAAATGAATTTTACCAAACCACCGTTACCGTTCTTTGGAAATAAGAGTAGATGTAAAGATATTATATTGAGAGAACTTAAGAAACTACCGAATGGTCTAACATTTGTAGATTTGTTCGGTGGAAGTTTCTATATATCTCATTTATGTCATATAATATTCCCAGACTCAAAGATTATATGCAATGACTTCGACAACTATATGGACCGTCTCAAAATATTCCAGACACAAACAATATATTGAAAGAGTTAAAAGAAAAGATACCTATAGGTAAGATGGAACGTATACCATTAGATAAGAAAAATATTGTGAGAGAGGTTTTGAAAAAGCAGAATATATAGACTGGGATAGTATATCTGCTAGACTATTATATAGTGGTTCTATAAGAGTTCATGACATTGAAACACTTATGTCAAAAGTTTTATATCTTAACTATACAAATGTTTTCAAAGAGGACATAGATAAATATATTGAGGGTATAGAGTTTGTGAGATGTCATTGGACAGATTTGTATGAAAAATATAAAGACAAGGAAAATGTTTTCTTTATAGTGGACCCGCCGTTCTATAACACATGGGATTTTCAATACCAAGTAGACTGGACTTTGAGAGACTCTTTAGAAACTTTAGACGTTATACAACCATAACCTCATGCTTTTACTTTACATCCGATAAAAGTGGTTTGGAAACCGTTATGAGATGGTTAGAGGACATACATGACTATGAGTTTATATAAAGATAGAATATGAGAGAGGTCCTATAAACTGGAGAAAGTGTCACAATAACGAAATTTTATTAGTAAGTAAATGTGGTTTGAAATAGAGACTACTTGTTTTAGGTTTTTTCCATTGTGTCATTTATTTATTTGACGTGGCAGAAAAGTACAGAGAATATGAAGATGAACCAATGCCTGCAAATGTTCAGCATATGTACTCGTAAGAGATATTTTTATCTAATATTAAATGGACGCACAGAACTTAGCGAATGCACAGCAACCTGGACAACCAAACCCAGAGAATATTCCAAATGAAGTTAGAATACAAACTGCAATGGCAAACTATGGTCAAGTGCCAACAGATGTACAAATGCAAACTGCCATGTCAAATGACGCTGCGTTAGGTTTGCCACCATGGTATGCAAATATGAGATGGAAAGAGTTTTATACAAACCCTGAAGTGGGATATAAACAACTTTATGCAGATGACGCGAACACAGGAGTTGACCCAGAATATGTTTTCTACCAGAGGAGAAATAGAATGTATGAGCTCCAGTTAAAGAATGCTATGGAACTCAACAGGAAACGTAAGAGACTAGGCGGACATTAGATTTTTACATATAGTAAAATGGGTTTCTTCAGTAGTATTGGAAACTTCTTTCGAAATGTTGGAAGAGGTATATGGAATGGAATAAAATCTGTCGGAAGAGGAATTTGGAACGGAGTCAAAAATATTGGTAAAAGGGTAGGTCAGTTTGTTGGTATTATACCTAAAGACCCTGAACCAGAAGAACAAGCTCCTGTTATACAACAGCCTGAACCTGCACCACAGTCTAGTTGGCAACCAAATCCAACACCTCAACCGTATTAAAAAGTTATATTTTTACCGTTCGATAGTAGTTGTATATGAAACTAAGTTCTAAGTAAAACGCATGGTATAATGGAATTATTCTCTTTCTTCCATCTGTTGTAAACCATACTTGAAAGTCTGAAATACTTCCACTTGGTGGTTCGTATAACTTTGTAGGTTTTTCGTAAAAGTCATTTGCCAAGCATAAGAAAGAGTTTTGAGCGCCAGAAAATGAAGCATGAACAATAATAGCAGCTGGGTCGAAAACATCTTTAAATAAATATGGTTCATCTCTTGCATATCGACTGTAAATATTTGCTAAAGGAAGTTCGACTTTCTGATTTAACATTCTTTGCAAATAATACCATGACATTGCAGTGAATTCTGTATATATTTGTTCGTCTTTCTTTGGATTGTCTTCGTAGATTTGAAATGACACTTGTGAATTTTGTTTGTCATATACAATTCTCACATAAAGTGTGCTCTCGGTATTTGCATATTCATCAGCATATTTTGCATAACATGAATTTATTTTATCTTCTATATTTTTTAACGCAGTCTGTAGAGAAGATGAAAGGTCAACTTGTATTAGCTCAATTTCTTCCCACATTTTTCGTTTCCCTTCAGATATATAATCTATATGAAACCTTACAATAAATGGAAAACTTTTATCTTCTACAGACACAAACTTCATTCTACGAAAGCCAATAGCTTTTGTGACAGATGGGTCTCTTAACCATCTTAATGGGTAGTCAAAACGATAGCCTTCATGCTTTACGGTATCTGTCTCAAACTTTTGACCGACATTAGTAAAAAGTTCATCTAATGGTTTAGTTGTAGCAACTCTTGAATTTTCTTTTTCTATTGGAAGCATATTTTATCTAGAATAAAAATGTCGAAAGAAACAGCGTCTATGAGAGAAATACAACACAACCGACAACTCATTTTGCAAGCTCTAAATAAGAACACAACAAACTTTTCAAACTATTCTAAGATATCTGAGTCATTGAAAGAAGGAAACTTAAAACTGACGATAAACCCATTGACAGACGAGTTTCTGTTTCAAGACAGTAAGAACCATACTGTTTGTATAAATCCAACAAAAAGAACTTTAAACGAGAAACCTATAGATGAACTTCTTTTGAAGGCAGATATTGACAACAAAGCTGACAAAGAGTATGTAGATGCAACAAGAGACTATATTCTCGCATGGACAGATAGAACATACCCACAAAAACATCATACACATAACATCTATGACGTAGATGAACTACCAGCAATGTTAGATGACAAAGCGGATAAAACATATGTTGACAATAAAATGTCAAGTGAAGTGACAAGAGCTGACAAAGAATATTCTAAAAAGACTCATACACATACCATTGCAAATATTACAAACTTACAAGAAACCTTAAACAGGAAAAGTGACGTTGGACATACACACGATTTCTTCGCAACTGTTGGTATAGAAAATATTGAAGGAACGGTTGAAGAAACTGGTGGGGATGTATTAAATTGGAAACCTCCTAACTTTCCACAAGGTTTAACATCGGATGAAGACATAACAACGATGAGATACATTAGATGTAGAGATGTTTATGTCATGGAGGATGAAAATAAAGTTAAATTCACTGCTCAAGATTTATATGACAAGAAAGCAGACAAAACAGAGCTTCAAACATTAAAGACAGAAATACTTCAAACCATTTACCCAGTTGGTTCTATTTATACGTCAATGAACTCTACCAGACCAGAAGTAGTACTTGGTTTTGGAACTTGGACTCAAATACTCGAAAGTTTTTTGTATTGTGCACACACTCCAAAGAAAACAGGTGGAAGTAAAACGATATCTGTCGACAACTTGCCACCACATAGTCATTCTGGTACAACAAACTTTTCTGGCGACCATAGCCACTCATTAAGAGACCACCCATTATACAACTCAGAGTATGAAGCTGGCTATGACGTTTTATCTCCAGATTATAACCATTCAGCAAAAAAGACTTTTCGACAAACTGAACCAGGAGGAAACCACCAACATACTTTTACAACAACATCTACAGGACTAGGTAAAAAATACATGCCACCTTACATGACAGTTTGTGCATGGTATAGAAATGCTTAGTCGTCATTTTCAACTTCTTTAGCATATTCGTCAGGAGTTGTCTTATATTTGTTAGGAACTGTCTTTGAAAGTATACCACCTTGAACTTTGACAAGTTTGAAACGAGGTCTGACAATAGTCGTTTTATCTTCTGCTTGCAGTCTGTACATTTTGCCATGTTTGCCTAAAACTTCATAATATTCTCTTGTATACTTTCTTCTATTTTTACGAACACGAATGTGAGTACCTGTCGAGTTCCCATTGTTGTCATAGTCAATAGTATTTTCATATGGGTCGCGTTTAGGTATTTCTATTTTTACTTTGTCACCTTTCTTAAGTTTGAAGCCTGGCATTCTTTCTTGTTTGTCTCTTTTGACTAAACTATTAAATATATAGTCTTTCTCTAAGTCGGGGTTGTTTTTCATTTCTTCGGGGGAGTGGTTTCCTAAACCTTTTTGTTTACGGCTATTGTAAATATTTAAAACTTGTCTCATCTTTGCCATGGAGAAGTGTCTATATTTGTCGTCATATGACATTTCATTTGCTTCACCACCTTGTGGTTGGTTTAAGTCTCTTAAGATTTTTATACAACTGTCAATGACACCAAGAGCAGAATGGTTTTGGTCGACAATGAAATATTGGTTTACATTTTTTGAACGCAGATAGTTTTTAATATCGTCTGATTTGAAAGAACTTTCACAGTCAGATGTCAGTTTTGTTGGATGGTATTTGTCAACGAATATTGTCAAAGCAGTTTTCACATCTAAAATATTTTTGGACTGTAATGGTATGGCTTCACAGTATCTTGTGTTTTGACCAACAAATATTAGCCAGTATGGTGGTCCATCTTCTCTATACCTCGGAATGTTTTCCAAGATATCCATAAACCAAGCATTTGGTGTTGAACTAAAGATTTTTATCATGAGTGCTTTCTTTGTCGCCTTAGAAACATAGGGGTCCTTGTTTGGATTCGTCATTTTTTACCCTATAAGAAATGGGTTTATTTGGCGCATTAGCAGGAGTTGCATCCAGATTTTTGCCCGCAGTTGGAACAATAGCCAGAGGTGCGTTTGGAATTGGAAGGAAGATTTTGAGTACATTAGGTATACTTAAAGAGAAAGCACAACCTATTATACAAACTGTACAGAAAGGTTGGGATGTAGCACGAGATGCAGCAAATCTTATTCCAAATCCTGAAACAAGAGGAAAAGTTCAAGGATGGATGGACAATGTAGGAAGAGAAGCAGGAAACTACTATAACAAAGCAAATGACTACTATAACCAAGCAGGACACTATATGGACCAAGGTGAAAGATTCTTTAACAGAGGATATAACCATGCACAACAGTGGGTAAACAATAACCAACCGCAACCACCTCAAACTTGGGGAATGTAAAGTTTTTTACTGAGATGAAATGAACAATACAGCATTGAGACAAATGGGTTCAAGATGGATTTGTCGACTTCCAGCAGTTACACAACGTGTTTGTCAAGTTCTTCCTATACCTCAGGAAGTTTTAGACCGACTTAAAAAACAACAACAACCAGTTGAAAACAAACCAAACTAAAATTTTTTACTGAGATGAAATGACCGAAGAAGTTGAAACGGTAGATTTGACACCACAAACAAAAAGTTCAGAACCATTGTCAAAACCTGTCAAAGAACTTACAGATGAAGAGAAAAATTCAATAATAGAAAGTGCCAGGTCTGGAAATACAAACCCTAACTATAAAGTCACTTTTCATAGAAATGGAACGGCTAGTATCTCAAAAAAGAAACAGACTCTCACAAATAAAATATTGAAGTCTGAAGGAACTAAAGAGACAGCAGATGGAAAAGTTTACTTCACTGACCAACAGTTCATTATAGAACATCTCATTGACTTAGAGTCAAAATATTCTAAACTTTACAACAAACACAAAAAGTTGAAAGGAAAACAAAAACAAATGGCATATGATATTTATGAAGATGTTAACGACACAACCATACCTGCAAGTGAGGTAAAGTCAGAGGAACCGAAAAGTGACGAAAAACCGATAGAAGAAGGGAAGCCAAAAACTGAAGATAAACCAAAACCAAAGTTTAGTCAACCTTCATTAGCTGGTATGGGTTGGCGTCAAAGGCTTCTGGTAGCAGGCGGTTACGTAAAGTAAAAAAAAAAATATTTTTTTTATTTTATTTGAAATGTACGCTGAGTTTGTTGGAGAAGACCGTTTGAAACTTGTTTGTTAGATGAGAAATATGAAATGACATACCATTTTAAACAATTTATTTTTAAAACAGTATATTTTTTTATTTTATTTGAAATGTACGCTGAGTTTGTTGGAAAAGACCGTTGGGAAACTTGTTTGTTAGATGAGAAATATGAAATTCACTGTTGTGAGTCATTTGAAGTCAGAAACAAAGAGACAAAAAGAGTTTTAAGCGGATGGGAGCGAAATGACGGATATGCTCTTATGGATATGAGTGGAAAAAACTATTTTAAACATATTGTCATTGCAACTCATTTTATACCGAATCCTAACAATTTACCTTTTGTAGACCATATAAACCATATAAGAAATGACAATAGACTTGAAAACTTACGCTGGGTCACTTGTTCTGAAAACAATAAGAACAAAGGCAAATTTCGAGATATTGTATTCGAATTTGTCGACGAACTAGAAGATGAAGCAATTGAAATTACAGACTATGGCGAGCATACGTTTGAGTTTTACTACTATAGCGAAGAACAGGACTCTTTCTACTTTTATACCGGCGTAAACTATAGAAAATTACAAGTATGTTTTACTAAGGAAGGCTGTGCTTATGTAAACGCTAGAGATACAGATGGAAAATGCGTTAAAATATATCTTAACAAATTCAAGAAGCTATATGGCATACCATTTTAAAACAGTATATTTTTACATATATAGGGTGTCCAAAGGTGCGTTTAGCACAGCGCTCTATATGAGACTATTAAAGGAGATATATGCTGATTATAAATATATAATAAAAAATATGAATATATGTATATGATGAGTATGTTGTATTTTGGCGCCATGCCGGGATATAAAATGAATTTTGAGACAAGAGGCGGTTTCGCGGGAAATTTTGGCGGGATTTTTTTCATTTTTTTAATGAATCATAAAGAAAACATCCTCGCTCTTGCAAAAAAATGCAAAGACTGTAAAAAAATCTACGAGACATTGGTAAAATGCTTCGGTATGGATGCTCCTAGCTATTCCACTGTAACGTATCATGTTAGGATGTATCACTTCATGAACAAAAAGGCGCCCATCATAAAAATTGACAAAAAATCGCCGGATCAAAGAAAAATCAAAGCAATTCTTCAAGCGCTAGATGAAGACCCAAGAGCATCACTCAGAAGGATAGAGGAGATGACAAAGATACCACGTACAACAGTCAGTTATTATCTGCACAATTATTTGAACTACAAACTAGCGTATACACGTTGGGTTCCGCACAACCTTAATTCAGTTCAAAAAAAATCTAGAGTCCAATCTTCGAAAGAGCTCCTCTCTATATTGGGTGCGTATCAATCCAAGAAGTTTCGCTTTTTAGTAACAGGGGACGAGTCTTGGTTTCAATATGCAACAGAAGCCAAAATCATGTGGATCCCGAAGGATGAAAATCCGCAAACATTCCCGAAGAAAAAAATTGACACACCAATGATGATGTTGTCGGTTTTTTGGGGCGTGAATGGCATCATCGCAATTGATATTCTTCAAAAACCTAATACGATGAATGCTCAGTATCTAATTGACAATGTTCTTACTCAAATTATCAATTCTGATGAGTTTGAGAAATCCAAACAACAAAAACAAAAGTTTGCAATTCATTTTGATAATTCAAGAGTTCACAAAAGTCATAAGGTAATGAATTACTTGGTGGAAAACAATGTCAAAGTTGTTCCAAACCCAATTTATTCACCTGATATTGCACCCTCTGACTTTTATTTATTCGGCACGCTAAAAAAGAGAGCTGAAGGACGCGAATTCGCGAGTCCAGATGATCTTGAAAATTTTGTAAGAGAGCAATTTGAGCAATTTTCTCATGATGATTTAAAGCGTGTCTTTCAAGCCTGGATCGATCGCTGCGAACGCGTGATTGAATCCAATGGTGATTATATTTAAATAAACTTTATATATATGTAACTTGTTTATTTCTATTCGCAGTATTCAGGTTTGTGCTAAACACACCTTTGGACACCCTATATTAAATGCTTCAGGTTGAAAAACAAAGAACAAAAGTAGCAGATACAAAAACGTTAGACCATATCTTTACAAATACTGGTAGGACTATATCAGATGAAGAAATTTCATCCCGAGCATACAGGTTTGACCCTCAAAATGTTATATGTCATGCAAGTTTCAGTTCAAGCAACAATAGTTTTCTTTGTATTGGTAAGGACTTTTATGACTTTGCTTCTAAATTCTATGAACCACCTAGTAACAGTTTCTCTGACTTTCAAGTTTGGTTCACAACAAACGGTGTGCAACATATTATTCCATTGTACTATGACTTTTATCTCGAATTGTCTTTGATATATAACTACGGAAAAGTGCTGAAAAAGTATTGAAAAATAATGTTTAGGGTAGAAGGTTAGATCTAACCTCATTTCTAACCTCATTTCTAACCTCTTGAATTTTCATGAATTTCCTTAAGATAGAAAAAAATAAAACTAACTTTATTTTTTTTAAGTTTGGTCATCCTTCACTGTATGACAAATATACTATATTTTACTTAAAAATATGCAAGCGGCTCATAGCTCAGTGGTATGGGCTACCTCGCTACAGGCGTCGAAGACCTCGGTTCAAATCCCGATTCGCGCAGGTTTTTTCCTTTTATGCAGTGAAATTTCATGTACATAGGTTACTTTGGTGTTAGACCCTAGTGAAGAAAATAGAACGATATAAGTTTACATTTGTAAGGTTATTTTGGTGTTAGACCCTAGTGAAGAAAATAGAACGACAGGAGTTTACATTTGTAAAGTTGGACGATAAAAATCTCTGCTACTAGCAGTACTGCTACTGTCAGTAAAAGTACTGCTACTGTCAGAAAAAGTACTGCTACTGTCAGTAAAAGTACTGCTACTGTCAGTAAAAGTACTGCTACGAGCAGTAAAAGTACTGCTACGAGCAGTAAAAAGGAAAATTTGAGAGGGTTTTCGACGATAAAGTACTGCTACTGTCAGAAAAAGTACTGCTACTGTCAGTAAAAGTACTGCTACTGTCAGAAAAAGTACTGCTACTGTCAGTAAAAGTACTGCTACTGTCAGTAGCAGTACTGCTAGGAGCAGAGATTTTTATCGTTGTGGTCCGACGGTTAAGCCACAAACGAATGTCCGACGTCCCACCAAAAAATATTTTTTTATTTTTATTGTAAGAACAGAAATGACAGTCGAAGCAAAAACGTTCACGAACAAATCTAATGGCGAAACATTCACAAAAGGCACTTACAACGGTATTGAAGTCTTACGTAGAGACAAGGATGGTTATATAAATGCAACAAAGATATGTCAGCAGTTTAGGAAAGACTTTAGAAGGTTGTTGGAAAATAAGTCCTGGGAAGAGTATTTTAAGGCATTTTGTGAAGAATATACCAACCCGCGGAAAACAGCGGGTTGCTTTTTATACAAAATTCATGCAGGAATTCCGGATGAAATCAAACAGGTTAGAGGAATGTATGTAGACCCAAGACTCGTAAACTATATAGCAATGTGGGCTTCTCCAAAATATTGCATAGCAGTTGGAAAAATTCTGGACTCCATAGACAAGAAAGTTCATGAGAAATTAGATGAAGAAGAACTCGAAGATACAGTGGAGAATGCAAAACCTTTGTTTGAAGAAGAAGTTAGAAAAATGTGCGAAAAACAAATAGAACATGAACGTGAGATATGTTCTGGTTATAGAGATTCTCCATACGAACTAGACCAATGGGAACAAGAAGATTTAAAGAGAGAATTTAGAGAATATGAACTCGCTAAAATTTCATTAGAAGCTGCAGAAAAGAAGTTAAAAGTTTGGGGTCGTTTTGTACAAAAATATTGTGAGTAAATGAACCATTTTTTTCTAACATCGTAGAAAACATAGCACAAAAATATATTTTATGTTAGCATGTTAGATCTAACACGTTTTCTAACCACTTTTCTAACATCGTAGAAAACACACAAAACTCGTTTTTTTCGGCAAAAATATATTTTATGTTAGCATGTTAGATCTAACACGTTTTCTAACCACTTTTCTAACATCGTAGAAAACACACAAAACTCTAGAGTTTTATACAGAATTCGGCAAAAATATATTTTAGGGTAGAAGGTTAGATCTAACCTGTTTTCTAACCTCTTTTCTAACATCGTAGAAAACTCTCGAAATTCATGAGTTTTGACACTTTCACAAAAAACATAAAATAAAGTTGGTTTTTTTAAAAAAATATTTTTTATTTTTATTGTAAGAACATGTTAGCAACAACAGCACCAAACTCGTTAGTCATGAACCCAACTTCAATGTTAGTAGAGATGAAAAGCTTCATTCCTTCTTCATATACTTTCGAAACAGAAATCCAGAAGATAAAGCAAGAACTTCTCCAAGGAGATTTAGACTGTAGTGCGAAAGATGAAACAAATGAAGAATATCTTTATGAAATGCAGGATATTATTGACCATCTACCTAAACTTCCTGAAATCCAACAACAAAAACTCACTATTCCTGAATTCGATGAAATAGAAGTCAAAGCAACTGACTCAGTAGAAACCAAGAAGTTCATACGTAAGGTAAACTATGAGTTTCTTGGATTTCATTGCAACCACAAAGTCATGGACAAAGACTGCGATATGGTATATAAAAACATCTCTGACATATACAAATCTGAAGAATTTAAGACCTACGACAACTTTGTTTCGTTAGTTGCAAAATGTGTATGGCAGATAAAAGATAAAGATAAAAGAGGTAAAGTATGGAACGAACAGATAAAACCCGCAACTTTTGAGTTAAAGAGAGCAATTGACGCCTTAGTCATACTTGCAGGTTTTATTTCAATGTACAATGCTAAAATGAACCCGCAATGTTCAAAATGTAAAGCAGCAATGAGGAAATATAACTACTCCGTCAAAGAGATAGAACGTATGCGAAAAGACTATACTGACTTAAAGAAAGAAGCAGAGAAACCAGCAGAAGATAAAATGGACATGTTGACATTTCTGAACAAAAACTATCCAACAGCTGACGATTTCCTTCTATCTGATGTCAAGAAGAAATATAAAGAAACATTCGGCATAGTTAAAACATTCGATGTACTGACAGAAGAAATAGAAGCTACGAAATTGTTTAGAATTTCACGAATTCACAATGTTTACCATGTAAAACGCTTATAAAATAACTGGGGTAGAAAAGAGGTTAGAAAACAGGTTAGATCTAACCTTCTACCCTAAAATATATTTTTATTGAATTCCGTATGAAATTTCATGAGTTTTGTGTGTTTTAGACCATGTTAGAAAACGTGTTAGAAAACATGTTAGATCTAACATTCTAACATAAACATTATTTTTACTGAATTCCGTATGAAATTTCATGAGTTTTGTGTGTTTTAGACCATGTTAGAAAACGTGTTAGAAAACAGGTTAGATCTAACCTTCTACCCTAAAATATATTTTTGCTGAAAAAATGACCAAATTTCATTATATAACTGTTATTTTTTTACGAAGAGAACTTTTGCACTTCGTCAAAAAAATCCCTGAAATCATATCTTTTATACAAGATAGAAAATCTTACTCGCCAAAACTCTATGAAAAACAGTGAAGAACAGCGAGACCGTTTTTTTTTCTGGGTCGCCAAAAAACTCTATGAAATTTCATGAATTTCCTTAAGATAGAAAAAATAAAGTTAGTTTTTTATAAAATATTTTTTTTATTTTGTATGTAAGAACAGAAATGACAAACATTGAGTTTGAAACAGTTAAAAAGATAGACAATGACACCAAAGTGGTTAGAATAGGTGATTTAAACGTAAGATACTCAAAGAAATACAAAAAATATTCTTTGTCAGACATTTTAACACTATCTGAAGGAAAGAAAGCACACGACTGGGTTAAAAATGCTTCAACTCAGAAAATTTTGACAAGAAATCCTGAGCTTATGATATCAGTAAGATTCTATGGAACAAGAGCATATCTTATAGACAAAAGTCTTATACCACTAGTTTTGTTCTGGATTGACCCAGTTGTTGGATATAATTTCATAACATATGGTTCATTCGATACGGAACGTTGCAGTGAAGGCTTACTTTACATCGTTCAGAAACCGAAGGACTTCAATACAAAGAGATATAAGATAGGAAGAACATTTAATATAACTCAAAGATATGACAGTATAGTCAATAGAGTCAAGGTTGCGTTTGTTAACGATATGAGAGCTGCTGAAACAGAACTACTTGAAAAGTTTGAGAAAATGTATGGTGCTCCCATAAAAGGTAAAGAAACGTTTGAAGTAGATGAGATAGATAAAGCTATAAAATTATTTGACGAAGTTGCTGAAAAATACATGTAAAGCGTTTATTTTTGGTCTTTTATACAAGATAGAAAATAACGCTAATTTTATTTTTTTTTATTTTTTTATTTTGTATGTAAGGACAGATATGTCAACAACAGAGAACACAACAACAGTTATAGTCCATGAAGCCATAAGTGAAGAATACGAGTGGGTTCAGTTTAACAAACAGTTACGTCTCATTCGTTCGGTCAAAGATGACATGTACCAAATGCAAAGTATTTTGAATGCTCTTCGTTCTACAAAGCAAGCATACCATTGGTTTGAAAACCAACAGACAAAAGAACTTTTAGAAGAATTTCCTCATATGTTTGCGACCCTCGGAAAACCGAGGGTCGAGATTCCGTACGAAAATCGTCAAAATTTGCCAAATGGTTTGAGAGGTTGGTATGTACATAGACTTCTTGTAAATGCTGTTGCAATGTGGGCTTCACCTCGCTATGCTTGTTATATTTTCATGATGTTAGATGAAATTCATAGACAAGAACGTGAAGAGCTAGAGAACAAGCTTGAAGCAAAAGACAAAAGCATTCAGAAAAGAATACCACGTTCGGTACCAAAAGGAAAGGAAAAGAACTATAAGTATATGATTTACACTGAAGAGATGGAAAATGAAGAAGACAGAGATATGGTTATGTTGCATTTAGTCAGAAGAAACAACAAAAGCTTTTACGACCTTGCTAAGATTTACAAATCTGACAGAAATTGGTTCTATCGCGAAAACTTACCGATTTCAATGACACCGAATGAAGATGTTAAACAGATAGTTCAAGATACGTTACCTCAAACACACTATGATATGAAAGGTTGTACAATACTTACATTCAAAGAAGACTTACCGCTACTGAAGGAAAAAATAACAGAGTATTTTGACAACTTCAAACAAGCAGAGTAAATGAACCATTTATTTTTCAAGCTTGACTTCAGATGGCTCAGGTAGCTCTATAAAGTAAATTGCCTCGTCAAATCCTTCTGGCATTCCGAGTTCTTCCTTCCGACAGGAAAAAATTTTCCTTCCAACAGGAAAAAATTTTCCTTCCAACAGGAAAAAATTTTCCCGACAACAGGAAGAACTCTTCCTTCCAACAGGAAAAAATTTTCCATCCGACAGGAAAAAATTTTCCATCCGACAGGAAAAATTTTTCCATCAGACAGGAAAAAATTTTCCAGTTGTCCGTCCGTAAACCATTCAAATTTTCGAAAATTGAGAACTTTTTGGTCGAACTTCAGGAAAAATTTTTCCATCAGACAGGAAAAAATTTTCCATCCGACAGGAAAAATTTTTCCATCAGACAGGAAAAAATTTTCCTTCCGACAGGAAGAACTCTTCCTTCCAACAGGAAAAGTTTTTCCTTCCAACAGGACACAAACGGATGACTGACGTTCCTCTTCCTGAATGCCTTCCAAAGCCAGAAGAACCGAAAGCTGCAGAACCACAACAGACTTACTAAGACAAACACTTACATTTTTCAAGCTTGACTTTTTACAATTTGAACTTTGTTCGCGTAGATGTGAATTCTGAAAGAAGTATGAGGGTCTTGTATGACTTTGTACTTCTCCCATAGTTCATGTCTGTCAAACTTACCTGCCATGGACTCTTTCATAAGTTCCATGAAATCGTCTTCGGACAATCCAGGGAAAAGTATGATATCAGTAAGTATTCTTTTAACATCCTTACTTAAACTCTTTGCTGTCTGTACACAAATGACAACAGAGATGTTAAAGTGTCTGAGCTTCTTAAGAATTCGACACATATCTTGTTCTCTGTTCTTTAACAAAGGATGAGAAGCAAAGTCATCTAAGATAAGAAGACATCTATGAGGGTACGTTTTCCAATCGTAAGATTGCAATTTCTTCGAAATGTATTCTATCTCTTTCTGTTTGTTTCTGAAGTGTTTCTTCTCTAATATTCTCTGCATTTCCTCATTTGGGTCTTTAAACTTAGAATTTATATACTCATTTATAGCATTGTACTTCAAAACTCTTCTTTGGTACTTCTTTATCCAATCTAACAACTCAGAGTCTTTTATACATACTAGTTTGGACTTCTTTATAATATCTTTGAACAAATTTACGGTTTGGTCAAATTGACCAGAAGTACTACAAATAACAACTAACTCATAGAATGGGTTCTTCTCATCTAGTTCTTGTTGTTGTGCAGCCATTTTAAGATAAGTGAAAGTCTTACCCGACCCAGGTGGTGCGATTAGACCTGTTATACCATTCTGAGCAAATAAGAACTTTTCATGTATAGGCTTTATCTGAGCATTTTCTAACTTCCTCTTGTTCTTGTTTAAAACATTCTCAAATTTTTTGTCAATGTCAGCAAACTTTTTTTCTAACATATTTTTAGAAAAATTAAAATTTTTATCTTTTAGAAAATGTCTAGTGATTTCGCTATCTATATTCGAGACAAGCTTTTTGACTCTAAAACTTCTGTCGACCATAAAATCTTACATAGTGTAAACAAGAAAGGTGAATTTGTTCTAAAGTTCTGTTTCTGGGAATATGACAAGAACCATAAAACATTAAGCAGAGCAGTCTTAAAATTTGTCAATGACAGACTTGTTGACAGAGATAACGCCGATTGGAAAGATGAAGTCCAACAAAAGTTCTTAGAATGCAAAGAAGACACATGCGCTGTTCTTGAAGATGAAATAGAAAACAGAATAGATGAGCTATTAAAGGACAAAGAACTTTTACATAAATATGGTTCGGAGAAATTTGACATAACTCCACCAGAGAAGAAGAAGAAGAGAGAAAAGAAAGAAAAGAAAGAAAAGAAAGTAGAAGAGAAGAAAGAACCTGAACCAGTTCCAGAGAAAAAGAAATTTGACATGTAAAAATAAAATTTTATTTTTAGAACATTTCTGGGTCAATGTCAATGTTCTCTTCCTCTTTAGGGGCAAACACTGGCTTAGACTCTAAAATCTTTTTACCCAATTTACCTTGAACTTCAACTATCTTAGACTCATAATATTCATAGTCGTCTGTCTTCTTTGGTTCATAAGGTATAACAAGTTTGTATGCTTTACCTTCTTTAAGGTTTGAGAACCTTCTGTCAAAATTTTCTTTGACTGCTAACAAACCTTCTATGTCTAAGTCTTCAAAAGTTGCACCACTTTTTCTAACAACAGCAAACTTAACTGGTGCAATGTTCCAAATTTTGTCAAATGTAGACTTTTCAAAATTGTAGAAGTAAACATTCAAATAAGCGAATGGGTCTAGTTCTTCTTTGACTTCTGTCATGTACTTGTTTACTGAGATGAATTTTGCCATCTTTTTCTATCGGATAAAAAAATATTTTTTTTAAAAAAAAACGTTTTAAAATGGTATGCCATATAGCTTCTTGAATTTGTTAAGAAATAGTCTAACGCATTTTCCATCTGTATCTCTAGCGTTTACATGAGCACAGCCATCCTTAGTAAAATATACTTGTAATTTTCTATAGTTTACGCCGGTATAAAAGTAGAAAGAGTCTTGTTCTTCGCTATAGTAGTAAAACTCAAACGTATGCTTACCATAGTCTGTAATTTCAATTGCTTCATCTTCTAGTTCGTCGACAAATTCGAATACAATATCTCTAAATTTGCTTTTGTTCTTATTGTTTTCAGAACGAGTAACCCAACGTAAATTTTCAAGTCTATTGTCGTTTCTTATATGGTTTATATGGTCTACAAAAGGTAAATTGTTAGGGTTCGGTATAAAATGAGTTGCAATGACAACATGTTTTAAATAGCATTTTCCACCCAGATTCATCCTAGCATATCCGTTATTTTGCTCCCATCCGCTTAAAACTCTTTTTGTCTTTTTGTTTCTGACTTCAAATGACTCACAACAGTGAATTTCATATTTCTCATCTAACAAACAAGTTTCCCAACGGTCTTTTCCAACAAACTCGGCGTACATTTCAAATAAAATAAAAAAAGATTTTTTTTTAAATTTACTCAGAAAAATTTTTCTTTGTATATACGCCGTTCTGAACATCTAAAAGACTTTTGACATTTGCCAAGAATGTTCGTTTAGACGCTGTCATATAACCATATTCTTGACAATATTGTTTATACGAATCGTACAATGACCTTTCATCTAAACACTCAAAGTTAGTCTCATCTATAAACAGTTCATATACACTCTTGTTTGCTTCTAACAATGTTTGTCTTTCTTCGGTATGTGGAATTTGTCTTGGATTGAACTTAGAAATATCTAATGTCATGAAATATGAGAACAAGTGGTTGTAAAAGTCAGATGTCAAAGTTTCTGCTAAGTCGTCAAAATATTCTGTATCTTGCATATGAGAATCTGACGTTCTGACAACTACATATCTTCTGTCAGAACTTTCTAACTTCATCGGAACAACATTGTTTGAAACCATAATGAAGTTTGCAACATTTTCACAAACTCTTTGGTCTTTATACTTTCTTTCAACAACTCCAACTTTGTCTGTTATAAGACTCTTCAAAGCATCTGAGTTCAAAACTTTTGTTGTATCTATACTTTGAAGTTCATTGCAAACTATAAGTTTCATATTCTCTATTGAGGAGTTAAACTTGCCACAGATGTTTTCTAAGTTTGTCATATTCGGATTCGAATAACCTTCTAACAGTTTGCATAAGATATCTGTAAAGAATGTGTTCTTACCAGTTCCTTGTTTTCCAATTATAATGAGAGCAGTTTCATTCTTAGCACTTGGATGTTGTAAGATGTTTGCAAACCAACATAAGATATACTCATAAACCTTTTCGTTTCCATTGCATATAATTTCTTTGACATGGTCTAACCAAGCTTCTATAATATTTTTTTCCATTCTACTTGTTCATTTTATATCCAGTGAAGATAGAATAGAAGTTTGGAGAAGGTGTATAGAACTTTATACCTCGAACTGAAAAATCTTCTAACTTTGACAATAAGATATCCCAAGCATCTAACATCTTCATTCCAACTTGTACAACTTTTATTTTCTTAAGTTTCTGTCTACATTCTTGTTCTGAAACTATTGTTGCTCTTGGTTTGTTAAAGACAACATCCCATTCTTTCATAACATAACATTCTGGGGCAGAGTCGACATAAATGACTAAACGTTTCAAATTCTCGACTGCTTTGTTATAGTCTCGAAATGGACACATATTTCTGAATGCTTGGAAGTCATAAAAATCTGAAACATCTATTCTGTACATTTTTATAAAAATAAAAAAAATATTTTTTTTATTCTTGACTTTGTTGTTGCATTTGTTGCATTTGTTGTTCTTGAGCTATTTGTTGTTGAAGTTGTTCTTGTAGTACAATACTTTCACCAGTTGCATCTTCCAATTCGAAACTTTCTGCCGTCATTGACAAATACATAGGACATAAAAGTTTTACAGGAACAAAGTTTGCGTCAACTAATGTCAACGTTATACTTGCCAAAGTGTTTGAGTTCACTAAGGTTGAAAATTCTGCATTCGAATGAACAATAGGCAAACCAGCAGAGAAAGTATTGTTTATACGCATAAGTATCTTTTGGTCATAATAGTTTCTGTCGACATTCGAATAACACTTTGAACCTAAGTTTGAAACAATATATAAGATTGGTGTGCTTAATGTCAATGGAATAGACATTCCTTGTATGACACCTTTTCCTGTTATAGGAAACTGTTGGTAGTAAAAACCAGATATAAGTTTTGTATTATAGCTCATATCGTTTATAGTAAACTCAGTCGGACATCCAAACATAATGAAACCTGCTCTAGTTGCAGCACATGTTACACTCGTACGTAAAGTATTAAATAAGTCAACAAAACCTGTTGGTGGTATATCTGAGTAAGTATCTTCAAAGGAGTATTTTTTACCATTCACAACAATAAAGTCTTCTGGTGTCAAAAGAGCAAAACAGGCTTTATCGTCATTGTGTTTAAGGTTAGTTTACAATATCGTCCTTGAGGACTTTGTAAGTTTGTTGTTATAGAATTATATGACTCAGGGTTTTTAGTCGTAATAGTATAAACCATTATGTCTTCTGCCATTTACTTAGCAAATAAATTTTAATGAAATGTTGTGGTCGTCAAATATTTTTATAACGTCTGGGAAACTATATTTTAAATTCAACGTTTCACCTCCTTTCATAACGTATATCTTGTCAATGGCATTATATGAAACACCACAGCAACTAATGTCGGGTTCTATTTCTTTGATGTTTATATCGTCTGCCTCTGTCAAAAGTTTCAATAGTTCTTTCAAAACTTCATGAGGTGCGATGACATATGAGTTCACTTTTACAGGGTTGTGCTCAACCAAGTTTAACATTATACCCAAAGCCTGACAAATCTTCTCCTGAGTTTTAAGTTTGTCTTTAAGTTGTTGGTAGTCGTTTCGAATATCTGCAACAGAACTTAAGTCTCTGCTAACTTCAGGGTATGTTGGTTGTTCTTTTACAGGAACTATTGTTATACCATCTTGGTCTTCGTATGGTTTCCCCACTTCAACATCTCTGTCTTTGACATTGACAACAACACTTTGACTGTTTGTTTGAGTTGGTGAATTTAACTTCACATCTGCCATCGCCATTAAACCTTTTGAAACACTTACGCTTCTATTTTTCGGAAATGACATTTTACTTAGAATAAAAAGATGGACGTATTTGAGTATCTCTTCGAATTGAAGCAGAACAAAGTTTATACTCACAAACAATACAAATACATTGACAGAATAGTTCTTTACACAAACAATGGAAAATGTTATAGAATAGCAGTCTTTGCTGAACCAAAATATTTTCATAAAGCAAAGAAAGTTGGTATAACTGAATGGTGAAAGTTCTTGACGTTGACAAAATATAACAACAAAACTTACAGATATTTCTAAAGGTAAGTTTATAATACAATATTATGTCAAAACTGGCGTACTGTCAATATTTGACGGAGAGAAGTCAGTTCAAGAACAACTTACTGACCTGCTGCCAAAATCTGCTCGATGGAAGCTGTCGTTATACCAATCTGAGGAGCCCCAGCAGGTTTCATCGAACGAATCTTCAAAAGAGCATCTTCCGTGAAAAGTGCTATTCGGTTTTTTAACTTCTTTGCTTTCAATTCATCTGGACCGTCTCTGTCACCAGTATATTGTATTTGAACTGTACCAACAGTTGAAATACCACCATAAAGTCTTCTGAGTCAGCAAATGGAATGCCAAGCCAAAAGTTTGAACGGTCTCCATTTGTATATTGAGTTTTTGAGCTCCTGTATGGGTCCATACTTTCACATATGGCATAATAGAACTTTGCATTTCAGGTTAATGGTTGTTGTGAAGTTGTTGTTAAAGTTCATAGCATCTAATGTCAAGTTGTATGACCTCATATCTTCAACTGTGGAATATTCTTCTCTTGGATAGTATTTGCCATCTATGTTTATATGATATTTAATACCGGGGTTTAGAAACAAGAATAGTCATTTATAGTTCGTCTGAAAAGAACAAACATAGTATCTGCATGTTTCATTGCAGTTGTTAAAGCAATATCTGTTCTTGCACCTGGGTCAGCACTTTGGTTTCCAACTTCACCTGCAAAGTCTTTGACAGATATTTGGTGTATAGGGAACATAAGTGGAACTGCAATATTTGGCAGCTAAAGCATTTGAAATATCTGGTCCAACATATAGACTGCAAGTCTGCTTTCTATTCTCTTGCATTCAAATTTTTCGCATGTGAACTTAACTGGGTCCCAAGCAGTTCCAGCAGCATTGAAATAATAGTTTACTTCAGTGTTGAAGTTTGAGAAACCAAAGTCTAAGTCAACTTTGTCTTTGGCAAAAGTCACAGAACTTGGCTCCACCAGTTCCAGCTACAGTAAGAGTGAATGGGTCTTGTGTTGGTGCAATGACAAGTTATTTTTGCTTGGAGTAAGTTCGATAGAAATTTTTCCCGCCCAGTTTGGCAAGTATCTTAAAAACTGAAGATGAGGAAAGATGACAAAGGAACTCTAAGTTTCAGTTTTACTTTAGTGACAGCATTTCCATCTGAACCAGAAAGGTTAAACATAAACTCCTGGAACGTTAGGGTCAAGTCTTCTTATTTTCTCAATAGTTGCATACTGGTCTGTTTGTTCTCTAGCTTGTGGTTGTACTGAGTTTCTCAAAGCGAACCATTCATAGTTTGCCCATGTTACTGTTTGAACTAAGTCAGAGTTAGAATATATCTTATATCCCATTGAAAACTTCTGGAGCATATTGGTATCCGACATAGAAAATTCCATTGCAACCTTTCTTGTCAGACAACTTGGCAGAAGGTTTTATTTCAATGTCTTGTTCCACGTATAAGAAAGAGTTGTCAATAGAAATAATATGAAACCTGTCGCAAGCAATATCTACTGTTGTTGAAGAACCTTCTCCAAACTCACCTACGTTTCCATAAGAAACAGCAGTTGTATATTCGTAAGTTCCAGGAACTATTTCTGACCTTCTAATGGCATTGTCGCATTCGTTTATACCATTCGGAAACATTTCCATTCATAGCATCCAAAACTGTTGGCGTTATATTCTGAGCGGCGTACATTTCATATGGGTAAAAATATAGAATAGTTGGGTTTATGTGTCATAATAGAACCCACGTGGACCAAGCTTTACTTTCTTCCTGACTGAGTTTTTAACTCTTCTTTTCCTTCATTGCCCTCTGCTTGAAGTTGTTGCATCTTTGCATTATGTTCATCTAGTATGTTGCAAATTTCCCATGTCCTTTTTGCCTTTTGGCTCTGGTCGCCCATCTCAGGTAACCTATATCCTAGAAAGAGTTTGTCATAGTCTGTATTTGAGTCTTCGCGTATTGTTTGCATGACTCTTTCCTGAGTTTCCGGTTCAAGCTCTTTCAAACAGTGCCTGTCCATATGGAATATGCTCGTTTCCAAATATATGTTTTTGTAGCCATTCTGGTTTTCTTTCCATGTTACCAACTATATCTTTTGTGAATGGGAAAGCTTCTACCCAATCTTTCAGTCTTGCGTCGTTTATTTCTGTAGTTGGTTTTATTTTGTCAAGGAACATGTTTTTCAATACTAACATTTCATCTGGTACTGTCCATTTGAGTTTTCTTAAATATTCATCCCTTCTCAGTTCATTGTCTGCAAAGTAAGTTTTTATGACATTTTGTAAACTTTCGTTTGCAAGGTCATGTACAATAGGTTCTCTTCCTTCGCTCTCCCTAACTTTCTTTCTAAACTCTTCACCAAATATACCATCTCTATGGTTCTGTGTAGTTCTTTGAGATAAATGTTCTAGAACGTCAGGTGTTATATTTCCATCAGCCATGTTCATTTCATACTGGTCCAAAATATCT